TCCAGGACACCTTCAAAACCTGTACATTGGGGGGTACTGTTTTACTCGGGAGACTTTGCTGAACACAAATATTAGTGTTTCAAAACAGTAAAACATATCACAACGATGATATTGTCAGTGAAAGTCACGTTTTTTGCATTTTTTCACACACAAACGGCACTTTCACTGATGATATCATTGTTGTGATATGTTTTACTGTTTTTTTGGCCAGTGTTTTTGACTACTAAAGTGGCTACTGAAAAAGACTGGACATACCCCATGTAGAATTCCCTGGGTTGCCTACTTTAAAACGAATATGTACATATGAGGTGTGATTCAGAGATTGATGACAGATAACAGTGTTACAATGTCACTATTGATACATTTTAAATATATATATTTTGAAACCGCAATGACCTTCTTGTACTTATAGCCCTATAACTTGCAAAAAAAAAAGCTAATAACATCTTAAAGGGACACTATAGTCACCAGAACAACTACAGCTTAATGTTGTTGTTCTGGTGAGTATATACATTGTATGCAGACATTTTCATGCAAACACTGCCCTTTCAGAGAAAAGGCAGTGTTTACATTGGCCCTTGGCCCTTGAGGTCACTCCTCAGATGGCCACTGGAGTAGCTTCCTGGTTCAGTGCTGCACAATAGGCAGCAGTGCTGTTAAGCGTCCCCTCGCTCTGCATGGGGACGCTGAATTTTCCTCATAGAGATGCATTGATTCAATGCATCTCTATGAGGAGGTGCTGATTGGACAAAACAGTGTTTGGCCCCACCCCTTGCCGATTTTAGCCAATTCAATGCTTTCCCCATGGCAAAGCATTGGATTGGCTCAAAATCAACAATTATGATGATGTCACCAAGGAGGCGGGGCCAGCACCGGCAAACCCGTGCGGTGCTGGAAATAAGGTGAGTTTCATTAACTTTTAAGGGGGCTAAGAGGCGGCAAGCCACCTAAATAGTGAGTATTGCACTATAGGGTTAGGAATACATGTTTGTGTTACTTACCCCATAGTGTTCCTTTAATATTGGGTATTTCTAAACTCAGGACAAAATTTAGAAGCTATTTAGCACGGGTGTTTTTTGGCGGTTTTAAATGCGTAACAGATTTTGGGGGTCAAAGTTAGAAAAAGTGTGTGTTTTAAAAAAATTTCATCATATATTATAATTTTTTTTATAGTAAATTATATGATATGATGAAAATAATGTTATTTAGAAAGACCATCTAATGGCGAGAAAAACAGTATATAATATGTGTAGGTACACTCAGAGGCGGAACTAGAAACCACGGGGCCCCAGTGCAAAAATTACCCAGGGGCCCCCAATAGGTCTATCCCCCACCCCAAAGGTCCCCGTCCCCATACATCTACCCCCCACCCCATACATCCCTGCCTCCATACCTCTACCCCCCACACACATGCAGACACACATACATACATACATACACACATACAGACAGACACACATACACATACAGACACACACAGACATACACCCAGATATACTGATACAGACATTCTCTATCACACATACAAACACACAAACTGTTTGAAAAATTTTGTGACTTACCTGGGGTCCAGGGGCTGCCACTCTGACTCCCTCCTCTCCTCCTGCATGGCGCTCTGTTGGCTGGGAGGAAGTGACATCATCACTCTTAACCCCTTAAGGACACATGTGTGACATGTCATGATTCCCTTTTATTCCAGAAGTTTGGTCCTTAAGGGGTTAAAGAGCCGCAGTGCTGAAAGGGCCCCAGGAAATCCATTGCCATCGGGTGGCCCGTGGGCTCCTTCATTGTGGGCTCTTCAATTTGGCCCCTGCGTTTTTTCCGCGTGGTTGGGGCTTCACCAAAATGTCGGCGGGCACCCCGGTTGCAGGGGGCTACAGGCCAGCCGGGCCCCCTTGAGTGACGGGCCCGGTCACAGCTGCGACCCCTGCAACCGCGGTAGTTCCGCCAGTGGGTACAGTAAATGAGTAAGAGGAAAATTACAGCTAAACACAAACACCGCAGAAATGTAAAAACAGCCTTGATCCTTAATGGTAAGAAAATTGAAAAATGGTCTGGTCACTAAGGGGTTAAACCAGCAAAACAGGCCCAGCACAGATCTAGATTAGACTAGATTACTAGTAACTGCAGTAACATCTGAAAGATTACATCAAGTCCATGTCAAATGAGAGCAAAAAACAGGTCGCAAGAGAATACTGAGAACGGGCAGAAGCTGAAATAGCCTGCCCTTCTGTGGGTCCCCACTCAGTTCTCAAGCTGGCTTTAGCTCATCTTGTGCTATTACAGAGGGAACATCTCTGAAACATATAAGACTGGTCCCACTCATATGGGCAGTCCAGATCCAAAATGCCAGCAAGTTCCCTCTGCACGAGAGTTACAGCAACCCCAGATGATCGTTTCAGCCTTGTTAGGCATTATCAGTGAGGCATAGCTGATATCTCTCTAGGCACCGTGAGCAAGTGGGTCCACGTCTGGATTACCCTTTAAACTTATGGAGAGCAAAAAACAGGTCGCAAGAGAATACTGAGAACGGGCAGCAGCTGAAATAGCCTGCCCTTCGGTGGGTTCCCGCTCAGTTCTCAAGCTGGCTTTAGCTCATCTTGTGCCATTACAGAGGGAACATCTCTGAAACATATCACACTGGTCCCACACATACGGGCAGTCCAGATCCGAAATGCCAGCAAGTTCCCTCTGCACGAGAGATACAGCAACCCCAGACAATCGTTTCAGCCTTGTTAGGTATTGATCATAGAAGGAACTGGCAGACCCCAAGATGTCTGCGCACATTACTTTCTTTCTCACCTTTTGCAAGTGATAAAGAGTTGTCAACAAATAGTAAGGCTCCTTAGGACCACTTATTACCATGAGAGAGGAGTTTTCCTCCTAATTGTGGAGGTTGGAAATGTGAAATTAAAGGATAGCTAATGCCCTTCTTTTTCCATATTACATGAGCAGTGGGATAGTAGCTGTACATGAAAAAGGCCCTTTATTTATATATATTAAAGATCCACTACTGCAATCCATAGCTCATGACAGAAGCACCAGTCATTGTGTTTCATCTATAAATCCAGAGCTAGCAGGCTGCAGTGAGAGTGGATGAGTGCCACAGTAACTGTAAAAATACATCTTGCAGCATTCTATTACATTTAGTGCATTTGCAAGGCTTGTACTTTACTTATTGTAAACTACAGGTTAGCATGCATGTTGCAAAAGCTGCAGTTAGTTTACTGAAACCGTACATGTCCTGTTTTTAATACTTTATCAGGGTAGTAATGGTGTTAATGTATTTGTTTCCAATAAAAACATATCTCTCAAAACCATGTGATTGCTACTCCAATGCTCTATGTGCATAGTCTCACTTGAAAACCCCTGCCAACAGCTGACTGGCAGCCCGTGAGATAAGCAGTTCATGTCTTAGTTTAGGAGAGCTAATGTTAGTTCCTGCTTCCGACATTGATAACAGAGGAGGAAAGTGGGGCACAGATGACCCCAGTTAAGAAATCAATCTGTTCGAAAACAGTTTGACTACTTACAACTGACGCAGGGGGGTGCCATTGCATACCTCCCAACATTTCAAATGGAAAAAGACTGACGCTTTTACTTGAGTGACTGGTATGGTCAAGGGCAGGGCTGTTCTGAAAATTTTTAGGAGACTTAAAGGATTAATCGAACCTTCTGAGGGAGGACCGTTCGTGTGTAAAATCCCGTATGGGCAATATGAAGTAGTTAACGTCTCTGGCCTCCCCACTATAATAAGGTTTACTCACCTAGAATCCTGCGTTCGGCGAATCTCCTGGGACTGATCTTCTACGCCTCCTCAGACATAACGGGGCCGAGTATTGTCCAATTACAGGCCTCCAGTAGAGAAGCCTGTGATAGTACCACTTTGCCGGCTCAGAGCATATGCGCGTGAGGGAGGGAGGTTTTAAAAAAAAAAAAAAAAACGTATGTACCACAGAGGGAGGGATTGGAGGGGAGACCTATCTTCGCCTTGAAGGTGCTCTGCGTTGAAGGGTAATATTTTTACGTCTGTCAGCAGCATGCACTGATTACAGACTTTTGACATTGGCAGTCTGGAAGAGTTCTGAGCTGCCAATGTCATGTGCGCTAGGGATGAAACTGGCATCCTGCACACATTAAACAATATCTCTGTATGTGCTGTGTTTCAGGCAGAAACACTGCATATACATATTCCTACCACCATAATCCTTTCAAAACACTGTAGTCATAATGGTGAAAGGGACTCTCCAGTGCCAGGAAAACATATCCATTTTCCTTGCACTGCAGTGCCCCCCATCCCATGTTGGGCTTACCTGAATCCAGTGCAGATGTCCCTCAGCGCTGGGTCAGGCTCTGCCCACACTCCTCCCCTACTGACGTCAGCCGGCGGGGGAGACCCAATGCATGTGTGGCAATTGCTGTGCGCGCGCGCGCATTAGACCTCCCCATAGGAAAGCATTATACAATGCTTTCCTATGGGGAGTCCGGCGACGCTAAGAACACGGAAGTTCCTCTAGTGGCTGTCTATCACAGGACTTAACCCTGCAAGGCAATTATTGCAATTTATAAAAACTGCAATAATTACACTGGCAGAGTTAAGGGTGGTGGGAGTTGGCACCCAGATCACTCCAATGGGCAGAAGTGGTCTGGGTGCCTGGAGTGTCCCTTTAAAGTAAACTTTTTAATAGTAACAATTTATGCAACTAAAACTTAATTTAGAACAAGAATAATGTATCTTATTTACACAGACTGATTTCTAAACACTTTTATTGTAGTTTAAAAACACATTAACGTATTATTGCTGTGGCTCAATGTGCAGTGGTTATGGTGCTTGTGTGGCTCTTTAAGATAAAGTTGTTTTGGTGCTTGGTGTTTATTGTCGGGAATTCTAAGTAAATATCACAATTTAGGGTAAAAGAGCTGAACTGTTTTTTCTCTCTCCAGCTTTTCTTTGCAATTCCAGGATTGTAACTGAAGCTTTACTTTGAATTTTGATAATTCTGGGAGAAACCTGGAATATCTGACAATCTGTATTTGTAGATGCTGTGATATTGCTCTCCTGCATTATGTATAAAATGAAAGCAATGCAGTAATCATTGACGAACCCTGGAAGTTTCCCATACAGGGCAGTGCTTTCCATGTGCTGCCATGAGCAGCATTAAGAAGTGATACGTGTCCAGGAAACATGGTGGATCACAATCCCCTGTGACCCCCTGCCTCTTACAACTGTCACGCTGCCTTCCTGAAACATCTCTATAAAGTTGGGTGAAAAAAAAACCCGCTTCCGCTCCTTCTGTCTGACTCATTTCCGCTTCCTGCCCAGATGCCGCATGTTTATCCTGCCCCATCCTGAGGCTGACGTGTCGCGGCCGATGACGTTCCGCGGTGCGATAGGCTCAGGCACTCCCTATATAAGGATTGCAGGAGGCGGGCGCAGCTTTCCCCGGCAGTCAGCGGATCGGGACACGGAGTGAGTCACGGGGTGCTAGCAGTACCGCAGGGCAGGAGGGTGAGCGGGCTGGAAGTTATCTGTCTGCATGGCTGGCTGGCTGGCATGCTGGGTGATCTCTATGGAGCTCGGTGTCAGCCTGCCCGGGGTGCGTGCTGCTGGGAGCCTGGCTGGGCTGAGGGCGGGGACTGTCTACGTGGAGTAAACATGGAGAGCTGGGGAGCGTGCAGGGGAGAGAGCTGGGGATATTTACTGACAGCCAGGGGCACTGACACGGTCATCATACAGGGCTGCACAGGGCTCGGTGACCTCATACTCACCGCTACAAGGCTCAGTGAGCGGCTGTTTGTAGCTGATATAGCAGCCAGTGCCCAGTGATCTGGTGTGACTGCAGGATAGCTAGTGCCCAGTGATCTGGTATGGATGGCTGATGTAGAAGCTAGTGCCCAGTGATCTGGTGTGACTGCAGGATAGCTAGTGCCCAGTGATCTGGTATGGATGGCTGATGTAGAAGCTAGTGCCCAGTGATCTGGTATGGATGGCTGATGTAGAAGCTAGTGCCCAGTGATCTGGTGTGACTGCAGGATAGCTAGTGCCCAGTGATCTGGTGTGACTGCAGGGCAGCTAGTGCCCAGTGATCTGGTGTGACTGCAGGGCAGCTAGTGCCCAGTGATCTGGTATTGGTAGCTGATGTAGCAGCTAGTGCCCAGTGATCTGGTATTGGTAGCTGATGTAGCAGCTAGTGATCAGTGATCTGGTATTGGTAGCTGATGTAGCAGCTAGTGATCAGTGATCTGGTATTGGTAGCTGATGTAGCAGCTAGTGATCAGTGATCTGGTATTGATGGCTGACTAGCTAGAACTTGTAGTTCTGCTATTGGTGGCTGCGGGGCAGCTAATACTCAATATTGATGACTGCTGGACAGCTAGTGCTCGGTGACCTGGTATTGATGACTGCTGGACAGCTAGTGCTCGGTGACCTGGTATTGATGACTGCTGGACAGCTAGTGCTCAGGGGTGGCTGTGGAGCAGCTATTGGTCAGTGATCTGGTATGGGTGGCTGATGGAGCAGCTATTGGTCAGGGATTGCTGTGGAGCAGCTAGTGTACAATGCTTTGGTACTGATTGCTGTGGAGCAGCTAGTGGTCAGTGATCTGGTATTGCTGGCCGTGGAGCAACTAGTGGTCAGTGATCTGGTATTGCTGGCCGTGGAGCAACTAGTGGTCAGGGATCTGGTACTGGTGACTGTGGAGCAGCTAGGCCAATGCTCTGGTACTGATGGCTGTACAGGATGAGCTGAAACTGAGTGGAACTCCAGGTTAATGCTAGGTTATCTGAAATTGAAACATCCACCTTTTCAGTGTTGGCCTACTTTTGTTGCACTGCGATTCTTTTGCAACAATACAACTGGCAAATCATCATGCAGGTTTAATTCTACTATTTGGTTTGCATGCAGTAGATATATTTACTTTAATTGGTGCTCAGTAAACTGTTCAAACAGGGCTCCAGGCATGTGAGATTTATTTCTCGGTTTATGCCCAGCTCCTATAATGGCTGTTAGGGGAGGTTGCATTAATATCTGGTCAATACTCCTTACAAGCGGTCATCAATCTCCCACCCCCCACCATACCAGATCTGTGTCCTCTTGGACTGTTGCACAGAATGCTTGACCTCCCAAGTAGAGATACATATGCAAATACCAATGTCTGTCAGCTCATTAGCAGCTAGGAAATACATATGGTATGTTTGTCATGTCACCTTTGTGTTTTGATGTTTGTGTGTGTTACACTTGTCTCCTGTACTTTCCCTGCTTTGTGAGTGGTTTTTATCAGCCGCCTAGACAAAAGAAATATATAATCTTACACGAACCTCATTGGAATTCCAAGAATGTGGCCCAAACGGCATGGTTTTAGTGATGACGTGTGGCAGACCTAGCCAAAGAGGACTTGTATAATGAAAATCCATTATATATATACAATTTGCAAATATCATAATCTTCTGTTAAAAAAGTGAGGTAATCAGTGCAAAATATTGATAAAGTAAAACCCGATGTGGTGGTTTTTATTTTATTTTTTCTGTCCTTTTTCTTAAGTGTCTTTCCTTTTTTTTTAACTTTAAAATAGAGATGAAAAAAAATAGTAAAATCTGTCTTTAACTAGCAAATGGAAACACTCTGACTAGTCTGCGTTGAGTTTTTTTTCTCAATTTATTACTTTAGTAGTTGCAGTCACGTTCATAAAGTGTCCTTCATTATGATAGTCTCTTCCGTCAGTTACCTGTTTCCCATGTAGCAATGAACTAGTTAAACAGTGTACCTAGTAAGTCGCTGGAGTTTAACCTGGCCTGAAGTGGTGACGTTGGCATGGAGAGAGGCCTAGTGAGGGAGGGACATTCAGAGTTAGGAGAGGGGGAGGTGAAATCCTCTTAATCCATCTCCCAGCCCCAGCATTCTGTGTTGCAATCTCAGCAAAGGAAAAAAGAGTGGACTTCTTGAATTGCCAGTTTTATGGCTTTCCTTCCTGTCTCCTGATCTGTCTTTCTAATATGCTGATACTGAGTGCAGCATTAATGAGTTTGTGATTGAAAGAGAAATGTGTATTGCCCCTGTCCTCCGTATCATAAATCTGTATTCATGTTCCTTTATTGGACGGTCATCCTTTTCAATATCTTACCACGACTCCACCTCTTGATTCTGTCTTTGATTGAAGTCAGTATGTTATGTGACATTAACCCATTTGCAGTAGTAAGGCATACTAAGCTGATTTGTTGCAGCATTATAAATTTGTGTAAATCCATTTTCTTTTCACATACGCCCATTTTTATTTATTTTATTGTTGTAAAGCTTTTAGCAGACATCTTCATCTTGTAGGCATAATTTTATAGTCAAATGAGGCTTCAAGTGCTTCATATTAATGTGTGCTATTGATGTTTAAATAACACGGTGTATAATTGGCATTCTAGAATTAGACAGGCAACCTAGTCATTAAAATGCTTTTCAAAGCCTGGTTTACCTCGGCTAAACCCCTTATTTACAAGTTAAGACATAAGTGGTAAAGTAGCCTAGTTAAAGCTACCCCACCTGCATTGTCGCTTGATATCCACCCCGATATCCTCTAGTCTCATTGGTAGGTAGGGAAACATAGTCCATAATGTATTGTAGACTGCTAGTAGGGTTTGGGGGTCAATATGGTAGGTGGTGGTACTCAGAATGAACAATATACAGTATGCTTCCCCCAACCGTATAAATTTATTTTTTCTTTAAATTGAATTTGTGAAATACGTCTGCCGGTCTTCATTACTCCAAACAATTTTTACTAAGTTCTTACTTTTTTTGTTTTTCTTTTTTGAAATTTTAAGATTCTTTAGGCAGAAGTAGTGATACAAAAAATGTTTCTAATATATATTTTCCTTTTTATATTTGATGTGGTTGAAGATATTGGCATCTTAAAAGGTTAATAATTATAGTATTTTACTGCTGTACTTTGAGATGCTATATCATGTTTGGACTTCTTTGCAGTACTTAAGTTCAGGGCTTTCTTGGTCCCATCCCCCTGATTTATGGGGGAAGGTTTAAGTTTAAAATCTGGAATGAAATCCATTGTCTTTTACCCCCATATGTGCATAGATTACTGCGACGCCGTCTGATGGTTTCAGTATCCTTGAATGCAGAGTCGCCATTCAGGCTTAGCAGCTGGATTGACGGATATTGGTTTTTACCGCAATAGAAATGCCTGCCTATTGTTTTCAGAAGTATGTTTGACATACCTGCTTCTCTGCTGTGAAGTTTGTTCAAGGTGTGATGGAGGGATAGTAAAACAGCTGGCTAGTTATATCTTGTATTGTAGGCCTGTAATGTGTCTGCTTCATTGGAAAGCAGGTTATTGGGTGAGAATGTATTAAAGCACCCAGCTTTCTAACTAAGTAAAATGCTTACATTTTTTTTTTTTTTTCATAATTAACACTGAAAGATCCTAGTTATTTGATTTCACCCTTTATCAGCACTGGGTTGTACTGAGGTTGCCTGATTTTGGGGGCGTTACTTTTATCTGCACTCTCTTGCAATAGCCTTCTCAGGATGGAAATTTGGATACCTCTGTTCTAGACCCCCTGAGCATGTACGGATTAATATTCATTATGTTCGTGTTGCCTTATTAAATGTCTTGCATTCCCTGTTGTTTGGATGTACTGTGTAACATGGTTTTACAGGCTACAACTTTCTTTTCATATCAAGCTTTATATGGGGTTGCCCATAATGCAAACCTAGGGGGAAGAGTAAAAGTCAAGCAGTCGCCATGGAAGCGGAATTGAAATATTGCGATTGCTCCCCTTTTCGAACTTTTCCCATGAAATGTGTTACTCGCACCATTGTAATTGATGATCTGCTATAATAGGTTACACTGTAACATATTGTAAACACTCTCTAGAACTGTATGTCTGCATCTGTAACATTGTCTTTTCTGTCAAATGTGTTTTAAGTTCAGCTCTTATGGACTGAAATTGTTGTGCTGCATCCTGCATTTTTGAATGCCTGATTATGAAGGAATTTGCACATACTGCAGGGTGTTAAAGGGTTAAACTGTTGTGAGGCATGTCTGTGGTGTATGCTGAGCTGGCAGGGAGCTCTGGCCCTTTAAGTTGTTCCCTCCCCCATACCGGTAATACAGGCTGTGCTGAGGTGGCAGTACAGAGGGGCCTGTCCCTGCTCAGCACAAACCTCCAGCCTTGACTCTGCTCCATGCCTGAGAGTAAACCTCCTTAGCAGATCACACACCTGCCAGCAGTCTGCATGGTGACAGTAATCCCAGTGGGTCCTTAACACAGGCCCCTCAAGTTAACTTCCTCCTGTGCAGAGAGCAGCTCTGGCTGTTTTGTAAATCTGGCTATTGCTGCTGTTTGCAGGGACGCATGGTACAGTGTACAGCTCTGCAGCTGGTATTACAGTCATCTACTCCACTTGAAGTAGCGGACATGTAAAAGTAGTGCACAGTCCCTTACTGAAACATTTGTGTTTAAAGCCCCTTAGGCAACTTGTCCTTGTCACAGTTTTGTATCAACTCCACAAACAGGTTTGTTTATATACATATATATTATAATTTAATGTACTCCACTTACTTTCTTGTTTACACCCTACTTGGGTATCTGAACTTCTGGTAAGGTATTGAGGATATGCAAACCCAACCTTTTATGATGTTTAAGTTGACAATGCTATGATCTCTACTTGCCTAAGAGCTAATCTGTCACTCACAATTACTTTGGCAGAGTTTGGTGCCTTTTGTTGCGCTAGAATATAGTTAATATTTATTGAAATTGGGGGTGGGGGGTTGTACAGTGGAGTATCCCTTTTAAAGTTGGGGTTGGCGTTGATTATTGTAATCACAGTATGCATATTTGTAATGACATGCCAGAAATTCATCTTCTTTTAAGGACAATGTTTCTTCTGAGTGCAAGGAAGCTTCACACAGCCATAGCGATATGATGGCTGTAAGTGATCCTTCACATTGCTGTTGAACATATCGCTCATTGAAAATCAAATTAATAGCATGGAGCCATGGGACAAATGCCTGAGCGAGCATGTTTCTGTACAACCATAAGAAAGATGTGTGGTCACAAACTAGCCTGTGTAAAGCTTTTTGGGAAAGTGCTGGTGTAACCACCTGGAAGAACTGCGGTTACGCAAGACTCATCTTTGCTTTTACTGCAATCCTAAACTCTTCACTAGTGCTAAAGAGGAACTATTTTTATTAATGGTATATTACATTAGAAATGGGAATCTTTTACTTTTTGGTCTTTAATCAAAATGTACTGTACATCTTTCATAATGTCTTAATCCATATGTGGTTCTCTAGCTGCAATGGAATTACAAGTCTCAATCTTGGCAAACTCTGATGAAGAATAATCAGTTTGTCGCTTGCTGAGCATCATAGGAGTTGGTTACCCTAAAGCTACACTGACTTTCACTGTGTGAGTTATAGACCTTTTACGCCCCCGTTAGAGGGTTATTAACGTATCAAAATTGCTCGGTTATGGTGATCTGGCTTTTGCAGGGCTAGTAGACAATGCACATTAAATGGTTTTCTGCTGTAGTCATTGCTGTGCATTGACTGTGTAATGTAATGGTCATTTCAGAAATCCATGCTATATGGCATAACAGGGATTTTCATAAGACTTACGTATGTTATGGTCCTTGAAGTGCCCCAAGTGGGATTTTTCCACAGCATGAAGGCTAATGCAACATTTTCTAATGGCTGTGCTCTTTAAAGGACTCTATAGGCATCCAGACCACTTCAGCTTATTGAAGTGGTCTGGATGCAGTGTCCCTGCCCACATTGGTCCTGCAATGTACAACATTGCAGTTTTAGAGAAACTGCAATAATTACCTAAACTGACTCAAGTGGCTGTCTGTCACAGTAAGAGGCATTACTTGGATTTTAGTGGACTCAGAGTCCCTTAAACGACGCCGGACATAATTACACTCTCCATGAGGACATTCAGGGTCAGTTGAGGCAAGGCTTTCCTATAGGGAAGGCCTAATGCACATGTGGCACTCACGCCAAGGGAGCACGGCGCTGGAATCAGGTAAGTAAAGGTTGTTTTTTTTTTTTTAACTCTTTATGTGCTTGGGGAGGGGGACGACGACCAGAGATAACTATATAGTGCTGGGAATCCAGATTTGTATTCCTAATACTATAAACTTGTTTTAACGGAAAAGTAAAAAGTACTTGATTTATGCTATCGGCCAATGACTGGTCTGGCATGGCCTTCTTTTAGATGGGTAATACCAACAGATTTTCATGCAGGAGATCCTGAAAGCAGGGAATGGGAGACCCAGAAATAGTTGTTAAAACCGTTTAAGAGCATACACTGGAATGGGGCCTTGTCGCTCCTAACATTCCAACCAATGCAGTGGGTTGTGATGCTTGTGGTATATGTAGTGGTCCTTTAAACCAGGTGTGCCCAAAAGGTAGATCTCCAGATCTCGTAGAACTACAATTACCATAATGCTTTGAATGCCTCTTGACTGACAAAGCATCATGGAAGCTGTCGTTTTACAACATCTAGTGATCTACCTTTTGGCCACCCCTGCTTTAAACTGTAATTTTGCTCTGAAAGACCAAAATAATCCGCTTAAGATGCATGTTATATGTTCAGAATTCAGTTGTGAGTAACATCCCTGGGCCTTTTGTTAGAATGGTACTGTGCAGCTCTGTGTAGAAGTAAATGCTTGAGGGGATTATGCTGGTAGAACTTCTGCCATTCCCTCAAGCTTTCAATCCCACTCTAGAGACTAAAGCGCATCTGCATTTATTGTCCCCATTGTCCCTGCAGTTCTGAAAATAAGCTACCCTGTTTATCAAGATTAATTTAACTCTTGCGTTACCATGGCATGCAGTACATTTTGAAGCGATGTGTGTATATATATGTTGGATGGGCAACAACGGTCAAGTGATTGTCAAGCTGTGACTGGCACCGCCCAATTTTGTGAATGAAATATTCAGTTTTGGTGATAGCTACAATAGTATGCTCTGCCAGATTTTTTGTAAACTGAGGATTTTTTTTTTTTTTTATGACCTCTGTATAGTTTCAGCTTCAGGAACCTTCTTCATTAAGAACTGGTGACATTAACTCTCGCTTGTTCAATGTGATTTTATTAAAATGGCAAACAGTAAATTTTCGACAAACTTTGTAAATTACTTTATGTTCAGACGTAGATTACAGAAGTGTGCCGCCCCTCTGTCACTAACCTTTTATATCAAATCTAATTTGCCATTTTGACATTTCTATACTGAAATGTAGTAGTGGATTGCAACCAATGTAGCCAGCCCTCTGCTCCATTCTCCAGGCACCAAAGCAATAAATTGAACTATAAATACTTTTGTGTGCAGTCTTTTTTGCGGTTCTATCTTTTCAGTTTCTTGTGACTACTCCCCGCAGGGTGAGGTTATTGGTGGGTATAGTATCAAATTTGGGTGAACTTATATATACATGATTTCCCGTCATCCTATTCTCCACGTAAGCAACATAGACACTCACTCAACCCCCCTATTTTCCCCTTCTTTCTCTTCCTGTTCTTTCTAATATTGGTTTCCTTCCTCATCGAGAAGCTTGGACAGAAAAAAAACACCTTCTAGCAGTCTTAGTAAATTTAACACTGTAACTAGATTTCTTAGTTTTAGTTTGGTTTGTGTATGTAATCTGCTGTATCTTTGTTTAATATAAATTTAATTCATATGAAACTTAACATCACAAAGTATGATCTTGGTGGGATATCAATTAACATTGAAACCTTTGCTACTCTTTTTTTCAGAAGCTGGCAGGCTGATAGAAGCACTCAGCTCACCGGACGGACTTTCTGGCTTTTGACCCTTTAGCTGGTAAGCAGTATGCACATGGTCTTCATTTGGGGGTTGCTTCTGCTCTCCTCCATAAAAACAAGACCTTGCACCCCACATTGAATGGCGCAGAATGACAACTGTCATTTCTCTGTCTGGATTGTACCTCATTCTTTCAGTGAGTGCTATGGAGTAGTTTGCTGGGGTGAGGAATACAGTGAGAGTCGGGATATAACTTCCCCCTCTATAGCACTTCTGTAAATAGGCACCGGCATCCTACACAATACCCTGAACATCTGCTTAGAAAGTACTACATGTGCAAATACATGTTTGAGAATCAAATTGCTGTAGATCTGGAGGTCAAGCTTATTTACATTTATGCTCTGACTGTGCCAGGAACGGCTTGTGTTTTGATACAATAAAAATGAAAACTGAATTTCATTTTTTTGAGCTGGGAGTTTATGCTTAGAGGCCCAACACATTTGACAAAAACTCTGCATGTGACCGTTCCATTAAATGCAGATGTTGTACACCTCCTAAGCAAATGATTGTCCTATTTACTTGTGTCGTGGCTAATTCTTGCTCATATTCAGGGTGTGGAGATGAAGATGGGCCATTGCTTTTAATTAGTAGTTTTGGACCACTGTTGCCATTGATACCTGGTACTGGTTATTCAGGATGCCATGACATCAGCTCATAAGAAGCAAGACCTAATCACTCGGTTTGCATGAGCAGTATAATTCATTATTGATCTTGCTATCTATGTATAAGTCAGTCTGCACAAGATATCCACATAGGGCAGTCTTGCAACTCCTGTAGGTGAGTAAGCAAGAATGAATCTAGCAGCTATGTAGAATTAGAACAGAGTGTGGAAAAAACTAAACCTAGCTTGGATCCCTACACTTTACAGACATAAGGTTGTTTAGCAACCTGATTCTGTTAGAAGCAATAAAAAAAAAATCATAAATTGAAAGTACATTTGTGTTGGGGAAATAAAATGAGACAATTTACAGAACTTGGGGATTCGTCCCCCAACTGATCGTCTGATTTGTCATGCCCAAAGCATGTCAACACAGCATTACAAAGGTGCTGGCTTGTGAGATTACTGTGGTTTTGTTTTTGTTAACTGTTATTGTTATTATTGGTATTTATATAGCGCCAGCTTATTCCGCAGCGCTTTACTATAAAAGGGAATTTACCAAATGAGACAATAACCAAATGTAACAGGAACAATAGGTAGTTAAGGACACTGCTCAAACGAGCTTACATTCTAGAGGAGGTTGGATGTAAAAACACAATAGGAAGGGATATTAGATATTCGCTGGTTGTAAAACAATACACTATACACACACCAGACAACTTGATGTTGGGACAATAACAATCTTTATTTACCTTTTTATTCACAGACCCCAGCAGGGGGTCTCCATTGACAATATAGACACCTACCCGGTGTCTGTGTCTGGGAGATGAGTTAATTATCTAGCGCTTAAATTAATATTCTCTTGGGCCCAAAGAAGCCCAAAAACCGTAATAAAACAACCCAGAACCCCAAGATGTGATACATCCCTGGAAAGGGCTAATCCGAGCACCCATTCTGGCAAAAGAGCGCTCAGATCCATAAAGTATTGGGGAAACGCCACAGGGACAAAGTTTTGACAAACCATTTTTAAAATTCTGGCCGAAATTCATTCCACAAGTTTAGTGCCAATGGGCAATCTTTAGACTGGTACTCCTGTGGTGTGAGACAAGAGGTGTTGGGGAGCGATTGTTCCATAGTATGTTGTACCTCCCCTCAGAATTGCTCTCTCTTAGACTGAGGGGAAGTAGGTGAAACCAATGATGGTAGTGTGACTGGGAGGTGGTACTTGTAGCTGAGCCTGAGTTCCAGACAATTACAGCCAGGTCCTGGTGGTTTACTCCGGCTCTCTGGAACTGCTAGCAGGAATGATGTGGGAGTGCGCTTGGTGTAGTACAGGAAGGGAAGGTATGGGATAGCCAGGGTAAGTGATGTAGTCCTTTTAGGAATACTTTAGGGACATAAGGCAGGTACTGCCACAAATACAAAAAGAAAAGTCCTGCGCTCACTCCCATCACTACTGTGCCGGCAGCAATGGCTACAATACACATCAGCCCCAATATATAGTAAAAAGAAAAGTTACCTGCTCTCTCTCCTTAAGTAAAAACTAAAAAGGAAAAAGTTATCTGCCCTCTCTCTCCTGCCACAAATGTATATTGCTAAGAGGAGCATGGAGGCATTAAAGCCTCATAGAGATTCAATACAGATAATTCATACACAGATGCTATTCTATAAATTAGTGATACTATGGGATGATAAAACAGAGGCTGTCTCTATATTGCATTTCTAATGGATTAATGGTTTCTTTTAACTCAAGCAAATATTGTCACAGTACCATGTAATTTCAGTGCATTTACGGTCTTTTAGTCCCCGTCCCCCCCACTAGAGTTGGAAGTACTATTTAAATAAATAGAAAAATCTAATGTATACATCTACTTCATAGTATATGCATTTAATTGATGCTAGCACAGCATTGCAATCATGTCTGCAAATGTAAGGGGGGGGGGGGGAGGGGAATATATAGGTGGAGCTTGTATATCTTGTTCTGAATTTTAAAGGAACCCTATAGTGTTAAAACCGCCCTCTAGTTTCCCTTGCCCCCGGTCCTGCCCCCATAAGTATAGTAACATTTTAAGTGTTCAAATCTGCAGCTGCTGCCTCTGATCTGTCTGCTCTCTGCTGAAATCATCAGAAATGGTGGTCTGAGCCAATCACAATGCTTCACCATAGGATTGGCTGAGGCTGTCAAGGAGGCAGATCAGGGGCAGAGCCAAACACAGCCCTGGCCAATCAGCATCTCCTCATAGAGATGAATTGAATCAATGAATCTCTGAGGAAAGTTCAGTGTCTGCATGCAGAGGGAGGAGACACTGAATGTTTGGATGCATTTTAGGCAGCCATGACCCAGGAAGGATCTCTAACAGCCACCTGAGGAGTGGCCAGTGACATTATCACTAGGCTGTAATGTAAACACTGCATTTTCTCTGAAAAGACAGTGTTTACAGCAAAAAGCCTGAAGGTAATGATTCTACTCACCAGAACAAATCCAATAAGCTGTAGTTGTTCTGGTGACTATAGTGTCCCTTTAACTCCTACCCCCCTTTTTTTTTTTTTTTTTTTGCTTATAGCTAATAAAGTGGCTTAACAGTGGCTCCTTTGCTTCATTCTAATACTTTGATGCTTTTAGCACTTAGGGTAACATAACTTTCATGCATCTGATTTTTTTTTTTTTACCTCATTAATATGCCGTAGTTTGTTTTGTTTTTTTGGTATGCTCAAAATGTTATAGCTTTGCAAAATGCAGCACCAGAAGCCTGCCTCCTTAGCCACACCCCTTCTTTCCCGAAAGAAGTCCTGATCAAATGTATGCATACAGTCTCAGCTTCAACGCCTCTCAAGTAAGCTGTTTGTAATTCACAACCTGACTACAGACAGTCTTAGAATATATAAACAGGTAGTGATATCCTTACTATATGTGCCCCCTGGGTGTCCTCTACTTCTAATGCAGGTTGTTTTTTATCTTCAATTATTCAGTACTGTCAGTGTCTGAGCTGTGTGCATACTTTTTGATAAGAAAGTTTCATATGTGTATATGTATATATTTTCCCCCTCTGAAGTGAGGGTGTGTGGCTGAAGAGGCAGGCTTATGGTGCAACATTCTCATGGATGGATAGATATCTATATCTATAAAATATTTATTTATGTAATATTTTTTTTTTTTTTTTATGTAAAACTAAACATTTGAGCAAAAAAGTAATTTATTTGGCAGATTTTGTCCTCGTTAATTTGCTGTTAAGTTGTATTAGTGCATGGACTGTCCTTTTTTTTAATGCATTTTTGTGCTTGAACCATGTCTGTATTGTGCCACACCGTATTGACAAAAAGATGTATGTATCGGTTTTCAAATTGATAATTAAAGCTAAAATACTTTGTGTACAAAACCTTTTCTTTCAGTGGTTACACGGATTTGCGTGGGACAATGAGCTCGGTGGCGGTTCTTACCCAGGAAAGCTTTGATGAGCACCGTAGCGGCCTGACCCAGCCGCCTGTCAAAGGTCAGAAATTGAATATTTTTATTTATTTTTCAAGCTTAGATCAAATGTGAGAGACTATTTTTATTTTTATGTATGTGTGTCTTTTTCTCCAGTGACAGCAATTGGTGGAACAGGGGATGAAAATGACCCCCCTACCTACAAGGATGCATTCCCACCCCTCCCCGAAAAAGTTGGCAGCGAAAATCATTCTGAGCCTACTGGTGCATGGAGCAAGATCAGGCCTATTAAGTCTTCCGTTATCACTCAGGTTAGCACTCCAGTTTGCTCTGTTAAAAGTAAACTGTAACTTTGCAGGTTTTTAATGTTTACTCATCCTGTGTTTCTTTTCTTTTTTTTACGTTTGAAAAATACAATTTACATGTAGAAATCCAAACCTCTCTAACTTGCAAATGTTTGCCTCCATCTTGACTCCCTGTTAATTGACTATAAGCTGTGCTTTGTACCTGACAGTCAGCATAGATAATTGGGGGGTGTGGGGGGAGAAGTTATGTAAAGGTTACTTCCAGTTTTGTGTGTATGTGCATTAAGACTGATATGCATAACCAAAAGAATGTTACATATGCAATAGTATATAGAATTTGTGAATATCTGTAAACGTTCAAGATTTTCAACCTTAATTAATTAGTTGAAGTATAAGATGGTTTTAGAATTGGCATTTATGATGTATGGTTTCATACTGGGCTTATTTTGAATAAGATTGTGGCAGACATAACATTTTAAATGTTTTTTTTTTTTTTTTCACCAATTATCTAGGTGTTCCATGTTCCCCTGGAGGAGCGTAGGTACAAGGACATGGCTCAGTTTGGGGAAGGGGAACAGGCCAAGATATGCTTGGATATAATGCAGAAGACTGGTGCTCAGCTTGAACTCTCTCTGGCTAAAGATCAAGGCTTATCCATCATGGTATCTGGCAAACTAGACTCCGTTATGAAGGCACGAAAAGAGATTGTGACCCGGCTACAAACTCAGGTATGAGGGCTCTGTTGTGTTTCACAGAAGGACTTGACCCCTCCTGGGATAGACCTTTGGTATGATGGGCTACAGGGGTTTAGTACATTGATAATCTCTCTTGAGTGGATAGTACAACACGAACAATATATATTTATAGGACTGATGCAACTAGCGTCCCTGAAGATTAATTTAAGACACACAGGTTAAAGACTTATATGGTTTTGTTTTTTTCTTTTAGCTAGGTAGCAAAGAGGGTTAACATAATTCTGAAACAGTGTATCCAATTAGATTTTGTTACTACTATTGTTCTGTATGTACATCTAGTATTCAATAAATATTTGCGATGTAGTATAAATCTGATGATCCACCGTAATGCACGGATACGACCCAGGGTCTTAAGCTGGGTTTCATTCACCCTTTCCGTATGCTATACGCTGGCCTGATATCCTGTCTCTTCTGAAACCCATTTAATCTGTTTTTTGCTATTGCAATTTGTGTAATGTTATAAAAGACAAAGAAAAGCTGACCTATATTCTATAAAGGGCGCTTTTTTTTTTAAATTTTATTTATTTATTTTTTCATACCAGTTTAGTAGTTTAGTTGCTTGATTCCTGGATGGCATATGATGCATTTAGAGCATTTTTTTTTTCTTTTTCAACTAGTCTTTTAACACAGTACTCAAAACTTGTACTTTCCATTGATGAGCTGTGGTGAGCATTCTATGGCTTGCAGTGGCAAGTAAAAGCTTGTAGTCCTAGGCTACTAGCTAGCCCTTCAATGTTAATGGCTGCCTATACTAGCCCCCTACAATCATGCTCATTTTAAAGAGTATACAATTTCATCTATACACTGGGCAGGCAGACTTGCTAGGAAATGTAGAAATTGAGACACCTATTTTTAAATAAGTTTTTCTCCTGCTTCTCATCGAAATCTATGCACAGAAAATGTGATGGACCTGGGAGAGCAGAAAATGCCTCCCATATGAGTTCCTGCTCTCCCAAGCATAGCAACCAAAGTGCATGCCCAGCTTTAATAGTCTTCCCACTTGAATGATTGCAGTTTTGTTGTCAAACCTTGTATATGAATGAGCTTTGCACTATTGAGGACTAATCAAAAATAAAAATAAATAAACTTGTTTCTCAGCGGATTAGTTGTATTAAGCTGTCTCTCCACCCCTGATCAAACACTGTCATGACTGCAGTCGGTACATTATGGAGGAAGTCAAATCTATTCTGGAGTGTGTCACATTTGTTAAACCGATGTAAATAGAACACCACAGGTGAAGCTAGCTGGTGTTTATAGAATATTTAATATCCTTATTTTATCATTATAATAAAAATATTGGCATTGATGCAATGCCAACTTATTCTGCAGCTTTTTAAAAGATTATAAAGTGGGGAATTTAATAATGAGGCAATAACAAAATGTTAGAGGAACGATGGGCTGATAAGGACACTGCAATAAATCTGTGTCCAGGCCTCATTAGTGCTTTTGATGTAACTTTTGGCTTTAGGATTGCATGATTATTTACCGGTTCAGATATCAACTGCTGGCAGTAGGTTATCGTGTAACATGAGCTGGTGTATAAAATGTTATGTGCATGTGTGATAACATGAATTTCAGCAGATTTGATTAATGAGCTAAGGTCAGTCCACAGACCACAAGGCTCTCATTTTACCAATGGAATTAATTGATGCAGTTACTGGTGACTTGAGGATTAAGTGATCCTTCTAAAAATATAATAAAATGCCACAGTTAAACTACTTACTTCACCAGTAAGTGGCCCATGGATCAAACAGCACTGATTTTATAGGGAAACACTTGACCGGAATTTCCTATTGGATGAATTCCATTGATGATTTAAAGGGAAACTCTAAGCACCAAAACAATTGCATCTTAAAGGACCAGTCTAGGCACCCAGACCACTTCAGCTTAATGAAGTCGTCTGGGTGCCAGGTCCCTCTAGGATTAACCCATTTTTTTTATAAACATAGCAGTTTCAGAGAAACTATATGTTTATAAATGGGTTAATCCATCCTCCAAATCCTCTAGCGGCTGTCTCATTGACAGCCGCTAGAGGCGCTTGCGTGATTCTCACTCTGAAAATCACAGTGAGAAGACGCAAGCGTCCATAGGAAAGCATTATGAATGCTTTCCTATGAGACTGGCTGAATGCACGTGCAGTTCTTGCCGCGCATGCGCATTCAGCCCGGGGGGAGGAGGAGAGCTCCCCGCCCGGCGCTGGAAGAAAGGTAAGTTTTAACCCTTTCCTCTCCCCAGAGCCAGGCGGGAGGGGGTCCCTGAGGGTGGGGGCACCCTCAGGGCACTATAGTGCCAGGAAAACGAGTATTTTTCCTGGCACTATAGTGGTACTTTAATGTTTTGAGTTTTGATGCATGGGTTTTCCTGCCTTTTCTTTGCTTATTGTGCTTAATTATGAGAAGCGTTGTATAGACAGCAGGCGCCGGTGGTGCTTTTCTACGAGAAGTATGTAAGAGGTCGTCAGAACAGATGACTTCACAGTAAGACTGTCCCAGCACTGGATTACATGGAAGTGGGTTTTACAGCTCCGCTTTTTTAAATTTAATTTCTTATTCTAACCAAGGGGCTTAAAAAATCTAAAGTGAATGTATCTTATGTTACATGGAAGAGTTAATTTAAATAGCAGCAGAACTGCAGACCACTACTGCTACAACCGTGACAGCAGCCCAATCTCTAAATGCCTGCAGTTAGAGGAGGAAGCTGTACTGCGTGCATTGATGAGCAAAGATTCTTTCAAATGGCTGCACTTGTAAGCAACTGTGTGCAGATAGAATACCTCCTTGCACTATAGCCTATGCAAGGAGCTTAAGTTATAGCACTTGGAATTTCCATTTAATATACATAAACAAACCTGCCTAACACTGTTTAAAAGAACTCTCGTAGCACCATAACATTGTAAATAGTCAACCTGTTTTCAAAGGGTTTGACAATTTCTTGGAGTCAGACAGGAGCCAATTGCCTCCTCCTTGAGAGCTGGAAGCCTTCTGCATTGAGATAAACCCAGTCGTGCAAGACTTGGCTCAATGGAGGAAGTAACTGGTGCTGAAGGACACCAAGCTACTCCTGGCATCTTGATCTCTACAGCCTGCTATTTTAGTTATGGTGCTTGGGTTGTTCCTTCAATATGCATGACTTGCCTCTTGAAGTCTTATTCTAGTTTTTTATCATGGCTTCAGATCCATGGCCATTTAGTTTTAATTCTTGTAGAGAAATCTTGTAGAGAATTATTGGATATTTTATTATTATTTAAGGCACACTGAGAGGTGGAAATGTCACCTGTCTTATAGGTTCTCCATCTTGTCTGTAGGCCAGTAATATTTCAACTCTGACAAGTTGAATCCTTGTACTATTATGAATGTTATAGATATTTAGTATATTCATCTCATTATTTATAATTACTGACTTTTGTTGAATGTGAAAATCAAATCTACCAGTAGGTTAAAAATCATGGTAGTTTTCATAGATCCTTTTAAAATAAACCTTAGACTTCCTTCTCATTTGTATAATGTGTTAATGTTAAGTGTTGCCTAGTGATTGAGTGATTGCTGTAACAGGCGTACTCTGTGTTCTAGTACAGTGACTGTGGAATGTAGTTCAGAAAGTGGAGCAATCTGAATTACTTTTGAAAAACGTAGACCTGCTGTGTGTGTGTGTTCTATCTCTCGGTTTTGAGATGCAGTAACTGATTCCCTATTCTCTCTTCAGGCTTCCGCCTCTGTGGCTATCCCCAAGGAACATCATCGGTTTGTCATTGGTAAGAGTGGAGAAAAGCTGCAAGACCTGGAACTGAAAACCGCTACCAAGATTCAAATCCCCCGGCCCGAGGATGCCAGTAACCAGATCAAGATTACTGGCACCAAAGAGGGCATTGAGAAGGCGAGGCACGAGATCCTGCTAATCTCGGCTGAGCAGGTACAAAAGGCTGCCTCTGAGACATGTGACCTTATTAGTGTTTGAGGGATATGTAGTTGGTAGAATCATATTGTTAATGGTGATAAAGTGAAACCGATACTCGTTACATGTGCAGTAACAGAGACTGAAGATGCAGTCCATAAAGTTCAACCTTTAACACATCTGATTCCTGCTGCTGATCCAAAATTCTGTGGGGGGATAAAAAAAACAATTTGAAGTGAATTCCAGTTATGCTTTAAAATGCACGTTAGATTTTCCTAAAACAGCTGTTGCCCCATATGTTGTGTATGAGCATTCGTACAGTATGCATGATACTATGTAAAGCCTTTCCATATAGTCACTGTATTTAATGTTGAGTTTCAATAACTCATCATGATACCTTTATTCCATCTTTGTTTAAACCCATATATGAAGCCGGAATATTGTTTTGTTAAAAAAAAAAAAAAAAAAAACTTATTCCTAAAGATGCATTCACTAAAAAAAGGAGTAGGTGTCCTTTGTCATTCCAGATGTTTTGAACTACATCTCCCATGATGCTCTTACAGACATAATGCTGGCAAAGCATCAGGGGAGATAGTGACAAACATCTGGAGTACCGAATGTCGCCTAGCAATGTTTAATTAAAAGCTGATTTGCAAAATTCGGGATAAAATCGCTAAATTGTGACTATAGCAATGTGTATAGTGTTCTTAATGAGTACTACACTGTTAATGTCGTCTAATCCATCTTAATGCTTATTAATACACAATGGCTCCCTTACAGGATAAGAGAGCAGTGGAACGAATAGAGATTGAGAAAGCATTCCACCCTTTCATCGTGGGACCCCAAAATAAAGTGGTTAATGAAATCATGAAAGAAACTGGAACAAGGATAAATGTCCCCCCACCCAGTGTCAACAAGACAGAGATAGTGTGCACTGGTGAGAAGGAACAACTGGCTCAGGCTGTGGCAAGGATCAGGCAGATTTATGAAGAGAAGGTGAGTTTTTGTCTCTACCCTTTATCTCCCCCAGCCTCCAATAATGGCAAAATTACTGTTGTACATCACTTGCGTATCTCGTGTTGGAAAGTCCCTGTTGGGTTTAGAAACTCAAATTATTTTTTTCACAACTATATCAAGGGGGACTTTCCAAAATCCAATTTCAGATATGCACGTGTAAAACCGTAATCTTTTTCTATTTTGCACTGTGGGAAGTTTTTATTGTTTGGTCTCATCCGTCTTTTGCACACCTCAAATAATGGCATGGGATTCATTTGGCTGTTGACTTAATACATTTATGATGGAGGGTTCGTGGAATCAAGATAAATCGGGAGAAAAGTCTAAATTTTACATTTGGCTTTTGTGAACACAGATACTCTTGGGGAAAATGCACCCGCACAAAACAATTAAAACCTTAACAGAACAGGAGATAGAACTTCCAATTACACGCAGGAAGCCCCTGCAGGTTCTAGTAGGCTATTGACATGACTTTCTTAATTAAACAAAATGCGATAAAGGAAGTTGAAATGTGTAGGGAGACTATGCAGGAGAGGCAGAGCTCAAGCTGCATAGACAGCGATTTAGCTCCCAAATGGTAGAGAAATGAGCAGTTACTGTCACTTTAAGTTTGTGCTTCAGCTTACGTCCAATGTTTGGGATAGTGCTGATAAGAAACATGTATAGATTTTACAAATCCACTTAGTGATTGGCTTGTTCTTATTCCATTGGTTAACACTTGTCCTTCAAATCTGCAGAAGAAGAAAACCACCAGCATTGCTGTGGAAGTAAGGAAGTCTCAGCATAAGTATGTCATTGGTCCTAAAGGAAATTGTCTGCAGGAAATCCTGGAGCGCACTGGGGTGTCAGTGGAGATCCCACCCAGTGATAGCAGCTCTGAGACTGTCATCTTACGAGGTGAACCTGAGAAACTGGGCCAAGCACTGACGGAAGTATACGCTAAGGTAGGTAAAACACTATTGGAATGGATGTCTTTGCATACTGAACTATCCCTTCACTTTGTTTAAAACAGGCCTGTGTATGCCGAGGAGTCAACAAATACTTTAAAGGTTATTCTCTAAACTGTCAATTGTTGGGAATTAACCAGGCAATTAAAAAATGTAGGCCAAAATAGTCAAATTGGAAAAATTCTCCAACGGTTTCCACATTTCCAGCTCGGCTATTCTGTTCTTCAATTTGCAATCCCCTGCTGAATTCCTGATGCTTCCGTTTGAGTAGCCCACAAATGAGGCTATGTACTAAAGCTTTCCCGTTGGTAAAGTAGGCCCAGAGGAGCAGTTTTTCATCAAGGTTGCTGCCTTCTCTAATATTCATTGAGATACCTGTGTACTGGCGAGGAATGCCCTCAAATCCTACAGGTCTGACCACCACTTCACTAGAGGATATCAGATTGCTTTCATAAAGGGTTTTAATTGTGCATTGTCACTTAGCGTTATGAAACCTCTTCATTTCTTTGTGTGCTAAATGGGCATCAAACTCTAGTTGGAGAATTAGAGTGCAAAAGATTTAACTCTTCTTCATCATATATAAATCATTGTTATATTGTAGAGTTTTTCATAGAAAATTTATTGTCCCTTAACCTTAAATTCTGGGGTCAACAAGGAATTTTTTTCCTAGTTTGTTGCAAAATTGGAAGTGCGTCAAACTGTTTTTGTTTGTTTTTTTTTTTTGCCTTTTTGGATCATCTGCAAAAAACAAAAGTGAGGAAGGCTGACTTGAGACTTGATGGACGCAAGTCTCTTTTCAGCGATGTAACTCTGTAGAATGAGGAATTGCTTGTCTTTATCTTACAGACCAAAGGTACCATTTGGTTCTTGTCAAATGTCTTACATATTTTTTACTAGCACTGTTTTGTGATTATCAAGAACTGGCATGGTTGTGTCTAACTGCACTTGAACGTATCTGTAATCTGATAATCTTTTTCTATTTTTTTTTTTTTTTTTTAGGCCAACAGCTTCACAACGGCTTCAGTTTCTGCTCCCTCATGGCTTCATCGGTTCATTATAGGCAAAAAAGGACAGAATTTGGCAAAGATCACACAGCAAATACCAAAGGTACTATTCTGGTTGTTTTGACTGCTTTGTGTTTGGGTTAATACAGAATATGCAAAGCACTCTTTAGGAGTATTACTAGACATGGGCATTGTGCACTGCTGGTAAATTGGAGCACTCCTATGATTAACCATTTACCATTTAACCGTGTTTTTTTTTTTTTTTTGGCTGTGGCAGTCCACCTTTCAAGGTTCAAGGATTCAAGGTTCAAGATTACACGTTGGCTACCCTTAATTTACACAGATTGCGAAGCTGAAATCTAATATTTATTAAAAAAAAAAAATATATATATATATATATATATATATATATATATATATATATATATATATATATATATATATATATATATATATATAAAAAAAATTTTTTTTTTTTTTTAATCAAAGCAGGGTTGACCGGTAACTCTGCAGAAGTCAAATTAAATACCTCCTGATGCTTTATAATGTGTAACATGGCAACTGACTTCTAGTGTGTGTGTGTGTGTGTGTATATGTGTTTGTATAATTTGTCATCTTTTTATTAATGTTCTCCTTTTTGTACTACAGTGGAGCTTTTTAGCTGTATATTAAATGCATTGTCATTACAGGCTTGCATTATAACCATGAACATTTTGGCTCATGTGTGTTAATGTTTGAGGGTGGTGTGTGTGTGTGTGCGCACGTGTTTCGTATTCTTGCTATAGTTTACCTGTAAAATCATTTATTTTGCTGCTTTGTACGTAAATACCTAGCTGTACTTTTGTGCCACATAACTGATGCTCTGATTTAACCAAGTTTTCCAGCAACTTGCATCAGTTATTTGATATCACAGGTCACTCTGCCACATAAAATACGTGCAGTGAACAGATGCCTATGCCAAAAGATGGTGTTTAGTCTTGACTTTAGTATTTTTGATGCAAGTTGCCATATATTTTTGTCTTTTAGGTGCACATTGAGTTTACAGAAGGGGAGGACAAGATCTCTCTAGAAGGACCCACAGAGGATGTAGCAATAGCTCAACAACAGATGGAGGCACTCGTCAGGGACTTGGTAAGCATTTTATTTGCTTGGTGCCTTTCAAATCTATTGTCAGTATTTCACATTAACTAATGCTACTGCCTGGGATATAACCTCATAAAGTGTTTAAGTCATGAACTCTTGATTGATAGAAGTTGAAAATGGCCTAGTTCAGAAGACAAACCTGTTTGACTTGTTATTTAGGGCTACATTCTGCAACTCTGTTAAGTAATCAGCAAGCTAAAAATATGTAAATCTTCATGAGCCTTCAATAAAAAAACAAAAACTCTATAAAGCGTTAATCAGATATCAGACATACTATAAGCATTCACTTCCAAAGGTAGTGTTGCACTCAGGGAACCAAATAGTCTGCTACCATTGCCTGGAGCACCATGGAAGGCATATGCAGTCCCTTAGAAGTATTCAAAATCAAATGCCAAAGGCTTCACAGAGTAGTGTAAATAGGAAGGAGTTTTATTCAGGATCAGGAGTACAAAGTTGTATACAATGTTTCGGCAACATGACTTAATCATGTATTTATACAAAACTCTGTACAGTGGTTTGGCATTAAGCCTTAATCATGTATTTATATCATTTTGTACTCCTGATTCTGAATAAAACTCCTTCCTATTTGCGCTACTGTGTGAAGCCTTTGGAATTTAATTTTGAATGCCATAAGAATCCCAGATCTAGTATTGCAGCATTGTGACATTTAAAATAACCTCTCCATTTTCTTTCCTCTTAGATTTCCCGTATGGATTTTGCAGAGATAAGCATTGACCATCGGTTTCACAGACACCTCATTGGAAAGAGCGGAGCAAACAGTGAGTGAATTGGTGCTCTGTTTAAAAAGTAATGTCTAATTAGGAAGAGGCCAAGTCTTTAACACAATGACATTTATTCAATCACATAGGAAATGCAGCTAATGTGGTACATTATCTAGACCGCTCACAGAGGTGGCCTACATAGATGAGCCTTGAACATGTCGTCCACATAATCACCCATTCAAGGGAAAAAAGAAAATACACACAAGCCTATGATGGCGACCTCTAACAGCACACTCCAGATAGTTATAAACTGAATTTCTACTGCGCATCATCTTATATGTAGTTCACAAATATCTGGGGAGTTAAGGTCCTCCTTCACTGGCCCAAGGTCCTCCACCAATGGACTATGTCTTGATTAGGTTTTTATTTCCAAAGTATGTTTTTGATAATGCCGATTTAATAATGTGACTGTCCATGAGTCATGACTTAACTATGCATTTTGAGTAGTCTACACAATTACTAATGATAGGATAATGGATGTAATACAAACAGAAATCTGTATAAAATGTAGGTTAGAAATAGACATTATTATTTTTCAATGGAAAACTGAGCGAATGAGTGTTAGTAAACTAGTGTCATTTGTAACAAAATGTATTAATGCAAACAGACTATAGTATTCTCATTGCATTATTCCTGTGTGGTTATGCCTCAGTTAACCGGATTAAGGAACAGTACAAAGTCTCTGTGAGAATACCCCAGGATAGTGAAAAGAGCAATCACATCAGGATTGAAGGTGACCCACAAGGGGTGCAGCAAGCAAAGAAAGAGCTCCTTGAGCTGGCATTACGCATGGTGAGTGCAGATTGTGTCAAATTCACAAAAGCATTTTTATCTATTTCAGAAATTGCAATTTTGTGGATTTTGGACACACAGAATATATATATTGTTTGTATTTGCAAAGAATCTAGGGGTTTTATTATTTTTTTAAATACATCTTGTGCAGTACATTGTGATTCAGTGGTAACAGTGTATCTTTTCACCTGTAGGAAAACGAACGCACAAAGGACTTGATTATTGACCAAAAGTTCCATAGGACAATTATTGGCCAAAAGGGTGAACGTATCCGTGAGATCCGGGACAAATTTCCAGATGTGAGTCAACTAGACTTGTTGTTACCTTATACCCATATGTTCCTTACCAGTCTGACAGGTTTTCTCTTTCCTTAGGTCATTATTAATTTCCCAGATCCAAATCAGAAGAGTGATATTGTACAGTTGCGTGGGCCAAAGAATGAGGTGGAAAAGTGCACCAAATATCTACAGAAGATGGTCATCGAAATGGTAAAGAGACCCTGTTCTTGACGGGTGGGGGTTGATTAACCTGGTTATTTGCCAAGTATATTATGAAATGTCAAACCACTCACACTGTCCTGTACACAGCCAGATTATTTCTCTAAAAATATTCTGATTTTATTCTTGCATATTGCACAAATAAATGTAATCACCTCCTATCGAGCCACAGTACTTGGGTCTCTCATATGCCCATATTACTTCCAGTCTTTTATATCACCAAAATGAAATTTCCCATCATTCATAGACACAAGTGTCTGCTGAGTCACAGCCAGGGGAGGTGTGGATAAGACTGCTTAAACAGTGGTTTAAAGGAACACTATAGTGTCAGAAATTACAAACATTCCTGAACCTGTAGTTTGAGCCAGATGACATTCGCAGCCCCTCTCCTTACTTTAAAAGGATGCTTAAACTTCCCCCATGCTGAGCCGGCTGGTCTTGCTCCACCTCCGTGGCTGAGTTAATTAGATTTGATCTATTGCGCATGCACAGAAAACCTGCATATGTGCATAGATATACATTGAATCAATGCATTTCTATGGTGAGTGTTAAGCATCGCCATGTAGAGTGTGAAGACTCTGTACGCCAGTGCTGCACACTGTGCATTACTGACCCAGGAAGCACCTCTAGTGGCTGCCTGAGTGACTACCACTAGAGGAGTTCCTAGGCAGCAATGTAAACACTACCTGTTCTGAGATTTTTACTTTAAAAGCCTGCAGGGACAGGCTTTAAACACCAGAACAACTACATTAAGCTGTAGTTGTTCTAGTGACTATAGTGTCCCTTTGACTCGTGCACTGCAAAAAATTGAGCAATTAAACTGCATGTGCATGATCTATACACCAAAACCACTTTATTAACCTAAAGAAGTTTTGGTGCTTGAATTGTCTCTGAACAGTGATATGATTGATTTGAAGGGAGGGAAGTCTTATTGATTTTCATACTTGATCTTTGACTTTAGGTGGAGAACAGTTATTCAATCTCTGTGCCGATCTTTAAGCAGTTCCACAAGAACATCATTGGCAAAGGAGGAGCTAACATCAAGAAAGTGAGTTTATAGGCTTTGTGAACGGTTTTAAATCTTAGACTATAACACTGCACCTTTTGAAAGCCCTAATTTTCCACTTGTTTTGCATCCATTGCAGATTCGTGAAGAATGTAACACTAAGATTGACCTCCCGGCTGAAAATAGCAACTCAGAAATGATTGTGATCACCGGGAAGAAGCCCAACTGTGAAGCCGCAAGGGACAGGATCTTGGCCATTCAGAAAGAACTGGTAAGTCTTGGTGTCTTCCCAGGATTGAAAAATAGCGAATTCCTTCAGCATTGTGAAATCAGATTTGTTCTGGTGTAAACTGCTGGTGTTCAGAATGCTTGCTTTCTCTGTAGTAGAACACTTGCCTAAATCCTTTTCCCGATTGCTCCAATAGCCTGTTGAATTGAAGTATTATGAGCCGATTAGAGTGTTATTCTTATAATGGCAGGGTTTAATTTTTTTAGTCAGACTTTTAATTTATTAACTTCCCATTGTTGATTTTACTTTAAAACCGTGCTTACTGACCCAATTGGTACAACCATATAAACTTGGTTGTAAATTAAGGTCTTTGCATTGAATTATTTTTTCTTTTTTGATTAATCTGAACCGAACTTCTTTTCTGCAGGCAAACATCTCTGAATTGGAGGTCAGCATTCCATCCAAACTGCACAACTCCCTCATTGGAGCGAAGGGACGCTTTATTCGCTCTATAATGGAAGAATGTGGGGGTGTACATATCCATTTTCCTAGCGAGGGCTCTGGTAGTGATACAGTGACCATCAGGGGACCAGCTCAGGATGTGGATAGAGCCAAGAAGCAGTTGCTGCAGCTTGCAGAGGAAAAGGTAAGAATATTGTGTTACGGGTAACCTGCAGTATGTCAGCACAATGTCTCACTGTGATCGGAGACACTGATATCTGAGACAGGTGACTAGATGAGGTCAGTATAGAATTGTAGGTCCAGACTTTAGATGGTAACTCTGAATGTTCATGGTTGAATTATGCAGGGCCCTCATGGACCTAGCTGACTGGCACAACAGTGTGTTGCAAATATAAGAAACCAGTCTCTAGTAAACCATTTAGGGTTTGCTTTGATTATATATATTTTGCATTTGTAAATTAATGTACACGAATGTAATGGTGTTTTGGATATTTTTTTTATTTTTTTATGTAGCAAAAGTTAGTTGGTTGAATTGCGGCTTATGGTTTTGTGGATAATCATTGCTTACTCATTTTTCTTTTCTTTGTTTTTTCTTTCTTTTTTTTTTTCCTGGCTTTTCAGCAAATAAAAAGTTTCACAGCAGAGCTGAAGGCCAAGCCTGAATATCACAAGTTTTTGATCGGTAAAGGAGGAGTTAACATTCGCAAAGTGCGTGACCTGACAGGAGCTCGCATCATATTTCCTACCGCTGATGATAAAGACCAGCAGCTCATTACCATTGTGGGCACAGAAGAGGCGGTAAAAGATGCTCAAACAGAGCTGGAGAACCTGATAAGGGGCTTGGTAAGACTTTTTAAATACACTGAAACTACCATTATCTGACCCACTACTTCTCAAACTAACTTGCCTACTGCTGCAGGTTCCTGGTCTTCTTGCTGCTTCCACCTTCCTTGTTGGCTTCACCTGCCTGGAATATGCCATAACTCTGTAGTTTTGTGCATGCACACATATGAACTGGGGTGTATGACTAATTTTAGTAAAGCAAAATTTAATCGGAATTGGTGTTTCTTAAAGAATCTTTACTATAAAAGTCCCGAGGGTCAGGGCCACTTTAAACTGGGGATCCACCTTTAACCACCATGCATTGCCTTAAAACAAGAAAAACCTCTTCTTATAACATAATCTGTAAGTCAAACTTCCTTAGTCTCTTCTAACTAGATTGCTGACATTAAATCATGAGCAACCTATTTGAATGGACATATGTTTTTGTTTTTTTGCTGGTATGTGTTCAGAAGACTAAACATCAGATGTAGCCAAGGGACATGGTTTTCCACAATGGCAGCATTTTGGGGCTGTTGCACCATAACCACTCCATTTCCTTTCATTGTAATTAGTTGTACAGTTTGACTTCTTACCCTGGGGTTCACTGGTCACCGCTCTCTCCTCCTTCCAGCCTAAAGAAAATGCTTGAGGTTTATCACAGCACTTTACGGCTGGGAGGAGACTAGTAGAGGCAGTGAGCAGCCTGGCAGCTCCCAGGTAAAACAATTGGGGGACGGGGGAACTAGAACCACTGCAGTGTGCGGTAGTGTTTATGGTGCTTGTAGTCTTTCTTTTACAAAAGATGGATGGAGGATTTTATTTGTATCTGTATGTCAACAGAACTCGCTTACCTTGTTTTTCAGGATAACATTGTTGAGGACACAATGTCTGTGGACCCTAAACACCACCGCCACTTTGTGATTCGGAGAGGCCAGGTGCTGCGGGAAATTGCTGAAGAGTATGGTGGTGTAACAGTGAGCTTCCCTCGCTCTGGAGTGCAAAGTGAACGTGTCACACTTAAAGGCGCAAAGGAATGTGTGGAAGCTGCCAAGAAACGAATCCTTGACATCATAGAGGACTTGGTAAGTGGGATGATCATGAGTGTTGGCTTTGTCTAGAAAAGTGAACTTCTCCTCCTCCATATTTATCGTGCTTGTTTGGTCATATCTATGCAGTTTATAGCAGTTTACAATCTGACTTTAGACCTATGGCACAATATACCTTACACTTTATTTGATTTGCTTTCTTGCACCTTATACCACACTTATTTTACCCCCCCAGGAAGCACAGGTCTCTATTGAGTGCATGATCCCTCAAAAATATCATCGGTCAATTATGGGCCCCAAGGGATCCCGAATTCAGCAGATCACTCGAGAATATGGCGTGCAGATTAAATTTCCTGACAGAGAGGAAAACCCTCAGGGAGGTAAGTCTTATCTCCGTTAGGAGTGTGAGCATCACGACCCAGACTAGAAAAGCTGTGGTTGAATTAATGTTGCCCGCGTTATCTATAGATCCCAACATATTCTGCAGTGCTCCACAATGTTCAGAATGTAATATCCCTAAACACCGTAAATGAAAACACTACGGAGACATGTAAGTATGTCAAAATATTGAAGTTCTTATAGAAATGATTCTGACAGAATCATTGGTGGATTGCTGAGACTGTAGAGTATGCGCCTGCAGAACACAATGCTCCTCTTTAAGAGGCATTGGCTTGGACAGTCATGGTCGAGACATGTCTCCATGATAACGTCAAACAAGCTTCAGTGGGCTGCAGAGGGTTACTCTGGTAAGGTTGAGTAAAATCTATTTTATTTTTTGTTTAAATATATGTATAATTACATTGCTCACAAGGGGGGGTATGCTTTAAGGGTATGTGCCGTCTAATTGGAATTGTTATATATTGTTGTAATGCAGTGCAACGTTGCAGATATTGTAATGCAAACTATGGGTTTTACCTAACTAGTGATAGGGAGTATATAGCGTTGGGAATACAGATTTGACTGTATTTGTATCATGCTTTTTGACATGCAGTGTAGTAGCCATCTCTCCCATGTTCTAGTATGATGAATTACAATTTAAATGATACCAGACTGTGTGGCTAGTAAGATTACTTTTACAAGCTCTACAAACTGGCGCTAATCTATTTTCATGACAATGTTCACTTAGTGACCTATTGGTAAGTAATTCCTCCTTCAGAGAGTGATTGAGTACAAGACCCTGAACATGTTTATAGCATTTATTCTCTTTACCTCGAATTTTACTAGAGAGACTCCGACTACTGCTTGTCAGTGAAATAATCTGGAAGCCATGTCCCCCAGTTTTTTAACCATACAAGTGAAATCCTGGCCGTTCTGTTTTAATTTCAAAGTTTAAATGCCTCTTGAGGCTGTCACTCAGACAGCCACTAGGAGTGCTTGAGATGAAATGGCAGAGTAAAATTTTTTTTTAACAATTAGATGATTTTATAGAGACCATCTGTTTGGTACAGTGTGGTGTTTTTCAGTGCGCACTAGCCTCCCGATGCTTTTCCATGGGAAAACATTGGATGGGCAGGCTGGGGTCATCAATCTCGATGATTTCAGCCAAGGAGGCAGAGCTTTCCTGTGGAGATCAGCACTGCGAGGAAGGAAATGTAAGTTTTGAAAAAATTCCACAGGATTAATGATCTTGGGCAATGCCAATATGCCTTTTTAACATTTAGAAGGGTAATTTCTCTAAATACAATAGAGCCCAGTTTTGTAGGAAATCAAATTGCATTCTGGTTTGTGTATGTCTTCTCCTACCACTGTACACATGAACGTATCTTGAAATGTCCCACGTCCCACCTACTACTCCCACCCTCTCCCCCCCAAAAAAACCCCACTACTAGTCATTTCATAAATGTACTTTGTCTTTTAGCACCCAGTGCCGATTTACCAGCACAAGAGAATGGTGAAGAGGGAACAGAGCCGAAGGTCATTACTGATCCTGAGTCCCCCAAAAAATGTGATATAATCACAATCGCTGGACGCAAGGAGAAGTGCGACGCAGCCAGTGATGCTTTGAGGGTATGTGCCATCTAATGGGAATTGTTATGTATTGTAATGCAAACTATGGGTTTTACCAAAATTAAAATGTATGTCTTTACAAAATTGAATATTAATCATTGCTTTTTATTTTGTTGCTTGTGCTCTATACTAGCAACTCTAGGGTAATATTATAAATTCTGTCAATCACTGAAGCCAGTATAATGATCCTCCAGATTAATTTGATCAAAATTAAAGGGACACTATAGTCACCTGAACAACTTTAGCTTAATGAAGCAGATTTGGTGTATAGAACATGCCCCTGCAGCCTCACTGCTCAATCCTCTGCCATTTAGGAGTTAAATCCCTTTGTTTATGAACCCTAGTCACACCTCCCTGCATGTGATTTGCACAGCCTTCCATAAACACTTCCTGTAAAGAGAGCCCTATTTAGGCTTTCTTTATTGCAAGTTCTGTTTAATTCAGATTTTCTTATCCCCTGCTATGTTGATAGCTTGCTAGACCCTGCAAGAGCCTCCTGTATGTGATTAAAGTTCAATTTAGAGATTGAGATACAATTATTTAAGGTAAATAACATCTGTTTGAAAGTGAAAACAGTTATTATTTTTTTATTTTTTTTCATGCAGGCTGTGTCAATCATAGCCAGGGGAGGCGTGGCTAGGGCTGCATAACCAGAAACAAAGTTATTTAACACCTAAATGACATTGAATTGAGCAGTGAAATTGCAGGGGAATGATCTATACACTAAGACTGCTTTATTTAGCTAAAGTAATTTAGGTGACTATAGTGTTCCTTTAAACTAGTCTTCCCTTAGATTCTGTAAAAATGGTTTGCCACCGATGTATTGAATCTTCGGGTGACCCCATAGCATTGCTGTAGTGATACAAAATGTGTTTTTTTTGTTTTTGGTTTTTTTTTCGTTTTCAGGCTCTTGTACCTGTCAGCATTGAGGTTGAGGTCCCCTATGATCTGCATCGCTACATCATCGGCCAGAAAGGGTCTGGCATTCGTAAGATGATGGACGAGTTTGAGGTGAGCTTGGAGGGGTTTAATGTGAGAAGTAGTAATTATTGGGTAAGATGTGCTGGTTGTCTGTCAGGGTTCTTGCTACACAATGTCTCATCAAAGATTGAAGACAGTTATATAGGTTACATATGGCCTAGGTTTTTCTCATGTTTTCCTTTGACCCATGAACTTGGTTAGTTGATGTTGTGGATAACTGAAGGAATTGCATTCATGCTGTGTTTAGAAGTAAAAGGTGTTGCTGACGGTTCTATTTTGTATGCATCAGACTGTATTTGCCTTCTGGATATTATATTTTGCACATAGATGCTGTGTTGAAAGACTTATGTTCTCAACACTAGTTGTCATTGTGCGTCTCTAATCTTATCAGTTACAAGACTTGTCATAAGTGAATAGGTCTGCTAGCACTTGGTTGCTTATGCAAAGAATCTCTACCCATTGCAGTTACACTAGCCTGCACTTCCAGTACATATACAGCTTATGGGAGGCTTTAGTATGTGCGAGGCAAAGCTCTGCGCCAATCAGCATATAGAGGTGCATTAACGCGGTGCGTCTCTATGGGGAACGTTCAGCGCCTCAATGCAGAGCGTGGAGATACTGAACATCAATGCTGCTCACTGTGCCTACTGAACTAGAAAGCACCTCTAGTGGTGATCTGAGTGACTGCCTCTAGAGGTGCTACTAGGCAGTAATGTAAAGTGTTTAGCTTGTTCCTGCAGGCTTTTCAATGTATAGACACAAGAGCCACAACATTAAGCTGCAGTTGTTCTGGTGTCCTTTTAAAGACCGAGGCAATTGTCCACATTCTGAACCAAAGCCAAACCTTGAGTTTGTTGGGTCTACCATAATTTTAAGGGTTTCTCTTCATGTGTCCCCAAACATATTATGTATCTATGTATTTTTCTTACATTTTTTTTTTTGGGGGGTGGGGGGGGTGTTTTTAAAGGTATACATTTAATCTAATATCCTATATGTATACTAAACACATTGTGTGTGGATAAAATGTTAAAAATGGGAGCGTTACCCTCCCCCCACACACATTTTTGCTTATGATGTTTACACTTTCAGTGCAACTAATTAAAAAAAAAAAAATCAAAATATGTTCGTATATCAGTTCTGATTGTTAAATGGCTGTTTAGGATCTAAATTAACTTTTGATAGTGGGGGAGTTAGTGTTAATTAACACTATAGCAACCACACCCCTTACCCAACCACTTACACTAACTGACTACTTTAATCCTACTCTTAAAGGACCACTATAGTGCCAGGAAAACATACTCGTTTTCCTGGCACTATAGTGCCCTGAGGGTGCGCCCACCCTCAGGGACCCCCTCCCGCCCGGCTCTGGAAAGGGGTTAAAACTTACCTTTTTCCAGCGCCGGGCGGGGAGCTCTCCTCCTCCGATCCTCCTTCTCTCCTCCAAGAGCTGCGCGCGCATTCAGCCGGTCACATAGGAAAGCATTCATAATGCTTTCCTATGGATGGGGGCGTGCTCTCACTGTGAGAATCACAGTGAGAAGCACGCAAGTGCCTCTAGTGGCTGTCAGTGAGACAGCCACTAGAGGATTAGGGGGAAGGCTTAACCCATTCATAAACATAGTTTCTCTGAAACTATGTTTATGAAAAAATGGGTTAACCCTAGCTGGACCTGGCACCCAGACCACTTCATTAAGCTGAAGTTGTCTGGGTGCCTAGAGTGGTCCTTTAACTTCATCACTACTCTATCATTAACCCTAAAACAGCGAACCATAACCCTACCCTACTCTTGCCCCTTAATCTGACACTACCCTAACCCTATAGTAACCTACTCATAACATCCATAACCATTGTCCTATTACAAATGGGTTTTACTATTTAACAAAGTAGATAGTGGTCTGTGACTGCTTGGCCTTCTTTTCATGTCATGCTGAAAGAAGCCCGGCATCTGTCAGTCAACGGGAGAAAGCCTGGGAGCCCGGTCAGTGTCCATTCAAACCCTGGGGGGTCTCCTCCATAGCAGCCTGCAGGCCAGAAAAACAACAGCTTAGCGTGATTGCTCAGCTCATGGTTTTATGATTGAGTTTAAAGGGCTAGGTGCAGCAGTGACTTCCAGCACTGCACAAAGCTCATCGGTCAGTCTGGGATACACTAAAAAATGGCCCCGGCTGACTAACTGAAGACCCAAGTATCTATTGATACCTGGGGTTAGTGGTGTGAGCAGGGGTTTAACCCTGCTCACAACTCAAATCTATTTGAAGGTATTTAAATGCTTATTTAAAGAGTCGCTTCTTACACTGCAAGCAGCTTGTCAAAGTCTGGGGTTACTAGAAACGGCCCCGCAGACAGGGGAGCCCCAGATATCCATTGATACCTGGGGCTCTCTGGAGTGAGCAAATATTTCTACAGCATCTAAATATAAAGGACGTTAAAAAGTTGCTGGGGTACAAATAAGGTTATTTTTTAAAGAGTGAAAGAATCTGTATAACTAGTGTTACAGAAGCTAATCTGTGGGCTGCCTCTTCAACAACCCACTTTTAATGTCACCTTTGGGCTTATCAGCACATATTTAGCTTTGGTTCAATGTTGGTACATAAAGGGTATATACTACCTGATTTTTTTTTTTTTTACTCCTGGTATTTGTCTACTTTTCATATCAAAGGTGAACATCCAGGTGCCAGCACCTGAGCTGCAGTGTGACACTATCACCATCACTGGCCTCTCTACCAATCTGGACCGAGCCAAAGGGGGACTTCAAGATAGAGTGAGGGAGTTACAAGCTGAGCAGGAGGACAGGGTAAGTGCAGAATTATGTTATCAACCCTTATTCTGGCACTAATGGTGGTGCTTACCTATTCCATCCCCTAAATTTGATGTAACCATTGTATTTTTTTAATTTTTTTTTTTGGTTTAGGCTTTGCGCAGTTTTAAGTTGGTTATCTCTGTTGACCCCAAATTTCACCCGAAGATCATTGGTCGCAAAGGGGCGGTCATTAGCCAGATCCGCAGTGAGCATGATGTCAACATCCAGTTTCCGGACAAGAGTGATGACAACCAGGTAAGGTGTACAAGTGAAATTTTAATTACTGAAAAAAATAGATGCTGGCAACAAACACTTGCGCTAAGTGTAGAATACGGAAATTTAAATATATTGTCGTCCTGGGAGAAGGCTATGCAGGTTAAGTTTCTAGTTGATCCTTGAAAATGTACTGAACTGCTAAATTGCTCAATAAAGAGAGGAAAATGCCTCAAACAATTCAAATAGTTGCATACAATCATTAGTGGTGCATTTTTTATTTATTTTTCTTCGGCGTCTCTGAAGTGCCTAAGCAGGCATGAAATGCGTTGGTGTTAGCACTTCCCTCTATGTTCCTCAACTGTATGCACATTTCCTTGAATAAAGGTCCTCCCCACTCCTCACTCCCTTCCCGTAGATTCACAAGTTTTTCCTCTTTTGATTAAATTCCATAAGCACCACATTGTCTTTATGGTAAATCCAGGGATCCCCAGGATATGAAAGAAATACAGAGGCTGCTAAAGGGCAAATGCTAAGGTGATCAATCTGAGATCCTATTGAATTCTACTTCAAGAGAATTGTCCTAATGGTTTAACAGGAACTGTTAAATCCCACTCAACTGTGTGCAGATTCCAAGTATGTCATGTTAAATAGAACTTGCCCGTTTCATGGCTGAATGCCACTTCCTCCCAGCACACATCCTTGAAACTAAATTTAACCTAAATGTACATGACATTCGCTTTGTGACACATTGTGAAATTGTAATATTACCTTGATTGTGTATTCAAGTGTAATATTAAAGGTTTACTGGAGTCTGAATGCACAGAATCTTGCTATTAATTACTTAACTTCCTGCCAGAGGTGTAATTTGGTTACTGGGGCAACATTAGCCAACCCAGAACAGGCTGACTTAAGTCAATTCTGTGTAAGCTTTTACACAGACACTCATTCATGGCAGAAAGTGATCGGCCTTTCAGTGAGCGCCAGAATATGTGTATACTCTGAACACTGCAGACCCATGAGATGGCTTGACTCTGGAACCAAATCGGAGTCCCCATGTGTCAAAAAAAAATATCACGGTTTAACATTCCATGGAGTTTCTCAATCGGACTAAGTAACTGATGTAAAAGAGAATTTGATATGGTTATCTCCTTCGGTTTTTAAGCTGCTGACAATGTTCTGTTATATATATTTTTTTAGGATCAGATTATCATCACCGGTTATGAAAGAAATACAGAGGCTGCTAGAGATGCAATTATGCACATTGTTGGGGACCTGGAACAGATGGTGTCAGAAGATATCACTTTGGATCACCGTATCCATGCCCGCATCATTGGCGCCCGAGGCAAAGCAATACGCAAGATAATGGACGAGTTTAAGGTGAAGTAAACAGTCTAGACTGCTGCAGGTTACATGCAACTGTGTCCTTAGTATTGTTTGTAACTGGTTCAGAGGTGATTTCCTTTTCTTGGAATTGTGGAGATTGAACAAGGGGGTTGCACATTTTAGCGAATAAAAGTTGGCGACTATTTCTTAATTTGCTATTTAACCTAAAATGTGCAATCCCATGAATGTTTAGCAAACACATTCTACAGTGTGAGATTAAATGGCCCATTATAACTCTTTCCTCCTGGAAAGACTCTATGTGTTTTGATCCATGAAAATCCAAATCTTTGAATATTTTTTTTTTTCTTTTGAAAGAACTGTTTGGCAGCATTTCTGATGATTTTCTTTGTTCCAAAAGGTGGATATTCGCTTTCCTCAGAGTGGTGCTCCAGATCCCGACTGCGTTACTGTGATGGGTAAACCTGAGGATGTGGAAGAAGCCATCGATCACCTTTTGAACTTGGAGGAGGAATACGTAAGTGTCTCTTGTAGATAGTTGCATCTTCCCTTTCAGAGAAGACAGACTTGATCGGCCAACTCGGTTGTCTAAGGTTTGTGTAAATTATAAAAGGAACGCCATCACCTTGTTGCAGTCATACTCTTGGTATATAGATGAATATATTTTTTTATTTAAATTTTTTTTTTTTTTAAATGTATATGTATGTGTGTTTTGTTTTAACTGGAGTGCACCTTCAAATTTGTATTTATTTATTTTAGATGACTGATGTTGTGGAGAGTGAGGCGATGCAGTCCTACATGAAGCCTCATACTCAGGAGGATACAAAACCCCAGCCATCAAAGGGTTTTGTTGTGAGAGATGCTCCATGGACAGCAGGAGGTGGTAATGAGAAGGTGTGTATTAACACGTCTAAATTCCAGGTCAAATTCCAGCTCCAGGAACTGGCAGCATCAAGTATTTCTCTATGGTTTGTAAACGCCATGCTAAGCTGTGATCCACTAACTTAATGCATGATGTATGTCTTAACTGAACGTTTCTGAAACATGTATTCTGAAGGGTTATGGGGCAGTAACATTTTTATTATGGCAATTGTGCTTCACATTTGCAGTGTTAGAGCAAATAATACTTTCTCATCAGTAACAGAAACTACTGAATTTAAAACATTTTGTCACTTTTACTTATTGAAACACCAGTCTTCTTACATTTGCTGAACCCAGTTACCAATTTTTCTCCCCTTCATTTTCAGGCTCCCGACATGAGCAGCTCTGAGGATTTTCCCAGCTTTGGGGCACCAGTGATTCACAAGACGTCTCCTTGGGGCCCGAAGCGGCACGGCGGCGGAAAAGGCCTTCTGCCTGCTGACATGTCTGCTTCTTGTTAACTCTATTGTTGCTGTGTCAGATTCACTTGCCCCAGTCATCTCCTCATTCCCCTTCCTGCCCCTTCCTCTTCCTCCCCAAGGATCCTTTGTAACCAGTCACTTTTGCAGTTTTTGCTGTGCGGGGATTTATCTGGCACTTTAGTATCTGGTTCCTCACCAAAGGGTTAAATCTGCATTTCATTCTTTCATGCTAGAAAGTGTATAGAAATGCATTTACATGGTATAGTGATACTAAGTATATCTACACACCTCCATCCATCTAAAGTTAGTCCTACCTAAGTAGATATGCTTCCTCTACAGTCCACTGCAAGTTCTGCCATGTTGAATTTCTGTGGTGCCTGGTCAGTTGTTTAACTGTTCTTTTACAAAGATACCCTCTGCTTTTGGGATTTGTTAGCCATTGGGCTACGACTGCTGGAGATATGAAATGATGCTTGGGTATCTGTCCTTTTAAGGAGAACGGTGTCTGACACGTGGATGTGTGCAGCCATACTTGGTGTTTTTATGTATTTCTGCATGAAATGCTGTTTTAAACTGTGTGAGGTCACATTAATTGAGGGCTGCTCAGGTCTTGGAGCATCGTGGGTCTTTTTAACACTGTCCTGCTGCAGACCTGAATGTATTGTGAAGTGCCCTGTTAACCCCTTCACTGCCAGGAAGCCATTTTCAGGGAGGGATATGCACAAATAGGGAAACTGTTTTCTCCCTCCCATCCATTCTTATTTCATGACTGCTAATCATCTTCTCAGCTGCAGAGAAGCCTAGATTGTCCTCTTGTGGCATTAGGACTGAATTTTAATCCCGTCTGCTGCTGCTTCCTGAATACTTTGAGTTGATAGGAGAATGAATGGGTTAAAGCACCCATCTCCTCTCAAAAGCCCTGTCACATACCCTTTCTCTTGTCCCCTTACCTCTGATGCCGGGGGAAAGGAATAATCAATTTTTTTTTGTTGTGGTTTGGGTGGGAGGGGGTGACATTAGCTCCAGGGTTTTTTTTCAGACCTCTCCTAAGCCCACTTACCTTCTGGACATTTCTTCTTACTGTGCCTCAGTATCAACTTCCTGTTCGCCAAGGTCAGGAAATAAACATCCTTTAAAAGCCAATGTGTGTTGTATGTTTGAATGTTCTGTGTACTCACTGGTTGTTAATGGTTTGTTCATCTCCCAAAACACTATCAAAATTCTTTTAAAGACCTTTAAAGCATGAAATGGAAGGCCTGTTGTCTCGCCATTTTTACCCTTCATTGTCTCAATCCAGCGGGGAGTAATAAAATTTGCTACGAAGTACCAGGTTAAAGTTATCAGATCCAGTTTTTCCAGTTTTTTTAACCCATGTTGTGTTAAGGTCATGTGTAGGACATGAAAAGTTCTGCCCAGCAATATATTGACTTTATAAACTATAGGATTCTGCTTTCAAATTCAGGTGCTGCATATAAGAAAGTAAATGCTGAGATTGCAATGTCCATGTGCTGGTAATCCACATGTAATCTGGATCTGGCAGCTCTACAAGCAGACAGTTTGTAGAATTGGACTTTTAAAGCCTCTGATTTGGCTTAAAACTGTTACAGTACACAATTTACACTTGTGTTTTTTTTTCTGTTAGGAGTTCATCTACAGTCTGTAGAGAGTTCTTGAAACGCGGTCAGGAATTGATTGGGGAATTTAAAGTTTTAGACTAAAATAATCAAATTGCAAAAACTACCAATACCCTGGCCAATTTCTTCTGTTTTCAGTTTAGTTAAACCCTGTTTGAGATGAAACTTCCTGTGCACATTATAAGCTGGATGTGTAGGTATACAGTATTGAGTTATCTATCCGGTTTTAAAGCCTTTGCAATTGGTTTACTTGATTAGGTAGAGGACTTGCTTAAGTGGGAAGGTAGGACATAGTAATATTTTACTCTAGGTTGTAAATAAAATTTATTTCATTATTTGCTGTAATTCTTTTACTGGCTATCCTATAAGGAAGTGTTATACGCATTCAGGGATATCATGCTTGTTTATTGCACTGTTCTAAATTAATAACTTTCTTGTACATTTGTGGTTTGACTGACAGTCCACCAAACCATTGCAGACTTGTTGGCAGATAATATGCCTATTTAAATCGGCTAATGAGGAATAGGATTAAAGTGTATTTTACTAAAGCAGTACATGAACTGCTATGTGGACATTCAGATCGAGGATGCTTAAAGAATGTTTGGTTAAGTTTAATATTTTGCAATGGGAAGCTGTATTTCGGCACATGACAGGCTAATTCAGTTGCCTAGCTATGCCAGCATGGCCGGATTAACATAGGGGCTGATGGAGCTGCAGGTTTACACACACACACACACACACACCTCCCCCCCGGTTTGCCACAGACGATATTTGAGGCTGCCTGGCGGTGACGGTATTGCAGTAATACCGGCAATGCAAATATTTTTCTCAGTATAAACTGAAATTATGCTGCAATACCATACTGTGTATGGAGAGAGGCAGGGGTACAAAGTTACAGCATCTCCCTGCCTCTCTACTCACTGATCTGCGGGGGAGCAGCTACACAGCAGCTCAGGTTATTGAACGATGGGTGGGGTTACTGGGAGATGTGGGGACACTGAGACACATGTCTGTGACCTCATTTCTCCCAGTGTCCTGACACTGGGAGAAATGGGGACACAGACACTGGGCGACAGGGGGTACTGACACTGTGATACATAGGGACACTGAGGCTAGGCTGGTCTTCCAATTCTTTGGACAGACATATGCCCCCTTTTTGGTCATATTCGCCCATTTTGGCAGTTCTGGTCACGTGATTCGTGTCAGTGGCTCACCCTTTTACCCTGCCAATTGACTTCCTGCTTCACTGGACACTGCTGTTAGGGGGTATGGATTTACTTGAAAGATGAAAGCATACATTAGAGAGAGATTAGCATAGAGAGTGTTTTCTTATAGCTGCATCCTTTGAGTTTCCCTCCAACTCCATCAGATACAATGACATTTGAGAGGTATGACTGTTTTAGTGTTTTTGGTCGATAAATTCTGTAATTAGGCCCCATCATAATTGTCAGCACCAGGCCCACTGGGCTCTTAATCTGGCCCTGTATGCCAGTATATTGAGACTGCCACCCAACATCTAATCAAATACAAGATTACAACTAAATATACAAATGCATTATTCTGGGTTATTCACTTAAGTGTGGAATTTAAAGGACATGCATCAGATGTTACAAGGTGAAAAGATCTTCCACCTGCACATGTGTAAATCTGTCAAGTTTACCCAATGCGCTTTTCCAGCATTCCTATGGATTGGACACTGATTAGATCTGAGTCGGTGTGAAAAGTGTAAGAAAGAAGCCGGTAAACATGCAAAAAAGTACCTTCTCTCCCCCCACATCCTGCAGAGTGAGAACACAGTCTAATTCAAAGCTAGAGCTATTGAATTACAGTTGTCGCAATGGGATGCATGTCCCTTTAAATTAGTCCAAAGTGGCTGTCTTAGAGAATGTTTCCAATTTAACTATTATAGCTAAAATTTGTAATTGAATTCTTGACAGTTCACACACCAAATGTAAACTGCAAGAGAAAACAATAGTTTACATTTTACCTAGTTTCCCCATTATCCATCAGGACTACTAAACCATTCTAAGAACCTACCCAAGCCATGTGGGAATGATTTTAAAACAAAAACTGGTATTTTCTATTTTGCTCTTTAAAATCATGACCGCTTTACTATAGGGCCTCCAACTACTGGGTGTGTGTCAAATAAAGACAAATGTCTAGAACTCAAAGCTGATAGAATAGAATATCTTCAGAATCCTAATACATTACGGCTATGTTTGGATGAAATGGCAGTTGCCTGAGGGGATGATCGAAGTAAACTTGTACCTTGAGAAAATGAAGTATTTTATCACTTGTTATCCATCAGCCTAGGGGAAGCCTTGGAAGCAGCCTGACCTTTCCTGTAGCTTTCAGTGATGATAAAGAATCTGGACTATATAATATCTTTGTACCGTTCAATGCAAATGGAACAATAAAAAAAACAAAAAACCTCTTAAGACAGAAAAAAAAATTCTAATTTTGTGGTAGGATCTGGAACAAAGCTAGAACAACATTCTGATTTAAAAGGACACTCCAGGCACACAGACCACTTCTGCCCATTGGAGTGGTCTGGGTGCCAACTCCCACTACTCTTAACCCTGCAAGTGTAATTATTGCAGTTTTTTTTTTTTTCTTAAGCCCTGGACTATGTTTATTAGAGGATTTGTATTTTACACATTTTTATAAAAATATAATTTATTGTGACAATAATATTCATATATAATATGCATGACAATCAGTGAATATTTGGTATAACAATAGTTATAAAATATGGCAACAATAACCACATCAAAGATAATTTCTAGATCACTTGTCTTGAAGTGATGAGTGTTAGTCCACATAGAAATGATCCCCAGTAGGGGTCAGTATACTTAACAAGTATTCGTACAGATCTCAGTACAAGTAAATAATCAAATGAGCTGTTAGCAACCTAAAGTTTAATTTCTGAAAGGTGTTACATGTATAAATTTTGGATAATTCCTCTAGAATTTAATTAACAATATTTTAACATAGACAATAAAATTATAGCAATGATACAGAACTCTTTTAGAGCTCAGCTTTAGAAATCCACCACACACAGAATGTACAGTCAGTCAGGGTCAGTACATAGAGAATTAACTCACTGCTGGCTACAATTCTCACAAAATAAACACTTAAGCATTGCAAACTAAATATGCAAGGTTTCATCTCGCAAATCGTCAACCTAACTATACTTTTCCATCCAATAACCATAAGAAAATCTTAAGCCTTAAAATCGCTTCACTGCAGTTCTTATTGGCTATAATATTAACTAATCCCTGATTTATTTCAGATATGTCAATATCTCTGGATAATAGCTTGATATGCTAAACTTGGCAAATTATCATTAAATCATATATAATTTTCATTCTGCTGCAGTCTGAATTTTTGAATTATATATAATTCTCTCTGCTAGATAAGATTTTAAAAGTTTTGAAATCTGATCAGCATTATCCAGGTATATTTCTGATTTTAGTAAAAATTGAAATGAAACCATCATATTTACCGATTCTCTTGGTATTTGGGAGATATAATCAAATGGATTGTGAATGCAAGTAAGAGTGCTTAAATGAACACTATAGGGTTAGGAACACAAAAATGTATTTCTGACCCTATAGTGATAAAACCATCATCTAGCCTCCCCCCCCACCCCTGCCAAAAAAAAAAAACCTGTGTATCTAAGCCCATGAGGAAGTGGATGCGGGGGAGCACGACACTCGATCAACCACCCTCCTATCACACTCGGTACATCCACTACCTCACTGCTGGCATGCAGTTAGTCACTCCCTTCCTCCATGACTGCAACGTCTGGCATGGATGAAAACTTTTAATTAAAAAATAGTTCACTTAATTCATGTGACTCGTAGTAAAAAGCTATATACTATATAATTTTAAAATTTTTCTTAATAAATGTGTATTATACTAAAGTGTTTATTAAAAAGTACCCATCAAGTGGACCTTGAGGGGGTATACTGTCCAGATGAATCCCCTCATCAAGGACCGCCTGACAGATTGTGAGCAGAATACTTGTGCTGAAAATGGTCATAAAAGGCACCAACCAAGCGGAACACATGACCATCAGTCGGGACCATAACCCTTCGAATTGACCAAATACTTCAATACACCGTGGGAGACACGAGAATCAAGAAGAGACTGAACCTCAAATTTATCATGAGAAACAGCAGAGGCAGGACCAGGCAGTTGAACAGTACTACAGCTCTTACTAAAATTTCAGCACTGCTCAGTGCAATTCTTGCCCCTCCACATCATATGTCATCCCATCAAAACCTGTCAAAATATATATATTTTTTTTTATTTGCAGTTTTTCCTTTCAATACAGGTGTACAGAATTGCATATACAGTACAAACAAAGATCAGCAGACCATATCATTGTGGGTACATGCCTATTTTTCAACAGTTGACTCTTAAAATACTTTGCTATTTGATAGTACACCTATATAAACCTGTCAAAGTATTTTGACCATGAGAATCCCCCTCAAGCCTGCCTAGTCAGAATTCTACACACTCTTTTTAAATTGATGCTGCTGCAACCCAGGTGAGTTTGATGGGGCTTCATTCCAAGGCTTTTAGTTGGGATTTGGATCTTTTTTTAGCAGTATGTGCAGCTGAATGTTCTAATTTCTCACCCCATCTTCCTCCCCGCCCTTTCTTTTCCCTGTTATCCTTTATTGCAGATTCAGTTATACTTGGTATGTTTGGATCCTGGGTCATTCCTACATATATTGGGCCCAGAGACACGTGGAGGATAGAGCCTACGTTGTAATCTTGGGTTCCCCTTTGAAATTGTGAGGGTTTGTTGGAGGGGACTAAGATTTATGTTGGGACCAGGTATACCCAGAGTGTATATAACTCAGTCTGTGTGTGTCTGGGTCAGTCACTCTAGTACTTTACGTGGTTGGGAATAATGTTTGCTATCTAAGGACGGAAAACATTATTGATGCTATTACGCATTGTATGGAATGTTTACTAATTTAGAGAATTGGCCCTTAAATGATCCAATACCTCATCTGGTAAGGCAAGTTAAGGCGTTCGAAAGACATAATTGCAAATTGAACAGGTCCATATATGGGTTTATTCAGGCCATGGGTGTCCTAGTGATAAGGCATGTGGGACTAGAAGGTGATAGTTCAGATGTTATGAGATAGGATGGTGTGCACCTTAACCTGTTTGGTCAGGACATATTTGGGGCTGCAAGCTGGAGTTGAAGCTGCGCAGTTTGCGATGCCAGCACATCATGAGCCATGTTAAGGGGGAATCGCGGTGGCATTAAAGGGTTGGATGACAAGTTGACTTTGGGAGACTGCAATCTGTAGAAGGCTGATGCCGAATACAGGCTGCACTGGACTCATGGGAAAAGGTTATGGAAACAGTCTGTTGAGTAATCACTCGAGGTGGTTAATTAAGTTACTGGCATGTTAAAGCTGTGGCAGTCGCCCTATCCACATAAATGTCTGTCTTTTGTATGGGTGGCAGTGGTTTGGTGGGATGGTATTATGGTTCAACAGTCATGTGTTAGTATACTAGTGTTGCAATTATTGTTTACAACTTTAGTTTGTTTACTGCTGTTTTAATTAATAATTATACTTACACTGATCAGCCACAACATTACAACACCTGACAGGTGAATTGAATAACTGATTATACCATTACAATGGCACCTGTCAAGGGATCGGATATATTAGACAGCAAGCGAACAGTCAGTTCTTGAATTTCATGTGTTCAAAGAAGGAAAAATAGATGAGCAAAAAGATTGACTTTTATTAAGGCCAAATGGTGATGGCTAGACGACTGGATCAGAGTATCTCCAAAACGGCAAGTCTTGTGGCATGCACTGGTCAGTACTTACCAAAAGTGGTGCAAGAAAAGGACAAGCAGTGAACCTGCGTAAGGATCAAGGGTGCCCAAGGCTCATTAATGCATGTGGGGAGCGAAAACTAGCCCATCTGGTCAAATCACACAGAAGAGCTACTGTAGCTCAAATTGCTTAAAAAAAATTAATTAAAAAATAAACTAAAGCAACATAATGCTGGTCATGATAGAAATGTGTCAGAACACACAGTGCATCACAGGTTGCGGGGTATGGGGTTGTGTAGCTGCAGAACGGTCAGTGCCCATGATGACCCCTGTCCACCTCCAACAGCACCTTCAATGGGGATGCAAACATCAGAAATGAAGCAATGGAAGACTATTCTTTGATCAGATGAAGTGTTTTCTTTTAGATCAGATGGATGGCCAGATGCGTGTTCATTGTTTACTTCGGGAAGAGATGAACTTTGAGAAGAAGCAGAGGCAATGTTATGATCTGGGAAACTGTAGGTCCTGCCATTCATGTGGATGATACTTTGACACGTACCACCTACCTAGAGATTGTTCCAGACCACATACACCTCTCCATGGCAGTGGCCTCTTTCAGCAGGACAATGATATACGGTCACACTGCAAAAATTGCTCAGGAATGGTTTGAGGAATGTGACTAAGATTTCAAGGTATTGCTTTGTCTTCCAAATTTGTCAGATCTTAATCCGATTGAGTATCTGTGGGATGTGGTGGAACAACAAATCCAATCCATGGAGGCCCCACATCGTAACTTGCAGGACTTAAATGATCTGCTGCTAATGTCTTAGTGTTAGATACCACAGGATATATTCAGAGGTCTTATGGAGTCCATGCCTCAGCGCATCAGAGCTGTTTTGCCAGCACAAGGGAATTTACATAATATTAGGCAGGCAGTTTTAATATTGTGGCTGATTAGTGAATAACACACAAGTTTAATACCAGTGAGTAAAATAAAAGAAAAAAATAAATTTTGAGGAGCATTTGTGGTTTTTGAACCAGGTGCACAGAAGTGAAACTGTTTAAAAATGAAAAATTCAAAGAAGATTCGGTGATATTGCAGTATCTTTTTTCATTAATATTTGTTTTGGGGTTAACAAGAATGTCAGTTTAAATGGTACAAGAAAACAAGTTTTTTTTTGTTGGCTGCCCTTTTTTGCTGCTATTTCTATACCTGTAAAATAAGTGCCAATAAAGTTTTTTCATCGCTTATCAGGATGGTGGCATCACTTGCTTTTCTTTTTAAAGCCCGGTCACAGAAACAGATCTCTGGAGCCTGCTAAGATGTCCATGGGATAAGATTTATTTATTGTAGTTTGCATACATGATGGCTCTCATTCCCTGGTGGTCCAGTGGTGTGCACTGTGTAGGAGGGGGCTGGCATGAAGCGTTTGCTTACCTTTCCTGCAGCTCCTGTCAGCTCCCTTCTCCTCCACTGCAAGTCTCACAGTGTGAGTGCCGCGCGGAGTGTTGCCACGGTAACCCGTGGCAACGCTCTGACCCCCGCGGCTCTCGCGAGACTTGCAGGGGAGCTGACCGGAGGAGAGAGAAGGGAGCTGCAGGAAAGGTAAGTAACAGCTTGCTCCCAGCCCCCCTCATTACAAGCCCGGCGGTCCTTGTCTGTAAGTTGCCATAATACAGACACTCAATCGAGTATAAGACGAGTGGGGGTTTTTCAGCACAAAAAATGTGCCGAAAAACTCTTCTTATACTCGAGTATATACAGTAATTCACAGGGAGAGCAGAGAAAAACTCATATAGTTAGTCTTTCTGCTCTCCAGCCGTAGCTATTACTGTGGTTGCCAAGGACAGACTGGTGGTATGCATCCACCACTGTAAGGAGATTGTAGCGGGAGAGAGGATGGTCAGGTAAGTGATATCAGATTCCCTTTGAAATTATTCTGTTAGCACTCAAAACTCCAGCAGGTTAGTGCTCCTCAAGCAGCATTTATTTTGCTTTTTTGAATGTTTCTTTGACTGTTACCTCAAGAGGCAGCAGAGTCATCCTTCTTACCCTTACCATCTTTACTGCACGTACTATTACATTTGCCTTGAGCCGTATGAACATTAGAAATGTTTTTGGTTTTATGAATTGCCCAGAGTAAACACAAACTCACCAACAACAGAAAATTCTTGTGTAAGGTAGTCTTATGAGCACATAAACCACTGCATAAGATTTCCAAAAATCCTTTATTAAAGTTACTTTTGCAAAAATATTAAAGATATTTTAATCGTTTAGAGTTAATTATAGTAATCAGTGGGATTAAATATACAGTGTAAATATAGTTTTTATATTATATGTGTCAACAATTACAGAATTCTTTAAATAAAAAAAAACTGTTCAACTCAATAATGGCTTTGAAGGATCTCAGCTAAAAATGTAAGTACTGGAGAAAGAAAAGCCAATTGATATCTGGGTACACAAGTTTTCTTAATGGTAGTTGGGGCCAATATCCTCATGCAATGTGTCGCTTCAAGCATAGATCTGATGATCAGTTTTAGTGTCAATCTTCATTCGAAACCACGATGCTTAGATTGGAACCTTCATGTTCCATATCTGGTGAAGTCCTCTCTATCACACATTCAGTGTCCAGTGTCCAAGCCAAAAACTGCAGAGCAAATGGAAATATGGTAAGACTAAAATGAAAGTAAAGTGCTACCTTTTTATTTTTATTTTTTTTAATAACCCCCCTCCCCCTGCCATTTGAATGCTTTATTGAGCATTATTCACTTTAAACATTATTTGCTTAATGTTAAAATAAATCTGTAAAATAAAGCATAGATTTACCTGAAACCCAGCACCAGGTGAAACTCTCAGCTACCCTATTCTATGAAATTACTTCTTTCACAAGGTCCACTCAAATGCTTCTGACAGAGAAGCATTTGATTGACCGTTTCAGTCAGAGAGCATGTGTGCACTCTGAGCTTGGGAGGGGATGGAGGACAATGCAAACCTATACAACAACCTCCTACTGGAGACTAGAGCGATTTTGGGTAGGGCTCAAATGAAATGAAAAAGGAGGTGATATATAAGCTAGCTTCCCCTTGCAGGTGTACTCCCAGTGCTGCCTGCAAAAGAGAAGCTCATTACATCACATGCCAGTCACTAGATTTAAAAGCAGAAGTGGTCATGGTGGTTGGAGTAATTATTCAATAATCTACTTCAAGTATGTCTTTATTCCTTTTTTTCTTATGTTCACTATGCAAAGATTCACAAACCTACATTGTCAATTTAATTACACTTCCATATTTGAACTGCTGTCTTTAGTGCCACTATCTTTCATCTCAACTCCTGCCCAAAAAAGTGAGGAGACTAGGAATTGCTGTTAAACTTCTATGGACGACTTTGGAAGATTCGTCACTAGAATCTTTTTGTGTAGGTTATGTGAATTAACATACAACCAGCTTTCATTTATAGTAACTGTAATCCCCTAGCAATGTCGCTGAAGTCAGGGGTGAGCCATTTTCAAGCAATTAAAAAATGAATACAGGTCTCTGATTATCCACAACCCGACCTCTAGTGGAGGTATGGCTAAGATAGAGATTACACTCTTCCTTCTAGTCATGCCCATCTATACCAGGAAATGGCACTGTGATTGGCTGAAAGTGTCAGCTGACTGCTTTCAGCCTATCCCAGCCATTTATTGCTGCTCAGGCTAACACTTCCTCATTAGACTAAGCAGTACACTAGGGATGGGCTACTGGGGACTCTCATTTTAGTATTAAAACATTAAAAATGGTATAGCACCGAACGGAATTACAGCAGCAGGGGACTCTGGACACAATAACCACTTCATTGAGATAAGGCAGTTACAGTGCCTGCAATATTCATTTAAGTTATACCGGTCATGGTACATACAAAATTTCTCTAAATGAAAGTCAACATTATTGAGCTTATCCCCAAAGCAGATCTTTATTTACATATTAAGGGTTTCTGGGACTTGTAGTTCAACTGTTAGCTTTCTACTGTGGAAGTCATTTTTTAAATTTTATTTTTGGCCAATTGTGACCTTACAGAGCAGTGTTAATAAATAAAAGATCATATACACAGTTTATCTATGTGAAACCACCACCAACCATATCAATACCTCATTCTCTGCCAATGCCTGCTTTGCAAGGAAACGCTCCCTTTTCAGCTTGATCTCAACTGACTCGGGCACATCAGGAACTAGAAAATCAATCATTCGACCAAGGAAAAATACCACGTGCTGTACGGTGGGTAAGAAGAAGAGGTTTGATGAAATTAATTGTGCTTTTAGAACAGTAGATTTAAAAATGGAAATGAGGAAATTAAGAAAATAAAAAGATAGGACATTGAGGGTAGGAAGGACGAGTTGCCAATAGTCCAGTTTTTGCCAGGACAGTCCCAAGTTTTAGCCTCCTGTCAGTTACCGTTCACCCACACAATCGCTGCACCAGGAAGACGGTATTACACTTCACTTGATCCCAGTGCCAAAAGCAAAAAGAAGGGGGTAGGGGTGGGAAGATGGAGCCTGGGCCAGCAGCAGTCTATTCCCATCAACCGCAGCCAGACCCAACTTACTGTCACTAGCTGCAGACTGCCCTCAAAGACCCCATGGAAACCACCCTGGTGTACTTAAATGTTATGGAAACAGGGGTGTGGCTAAAAATACGTATTTTCTTTGTGTATCTCTGTGAGTTTAACTGTGTGTGTGTATACATCGATGAGTTCACTTATACCAGAGAGAGCAACATAGAACCACGTACGCAACTACACGTATAATGATATAGCCGTGATCCAACAGAGGCTATGCCTGAAAACACAACCACTCCTGGTAACTGTTAATTAACGTTGCTAAGTTTATAGGTTAACAAAATTTTGCTGTTGGCAGTACGCAAGCAACCTCAGGAGCAGGGTAACCAACTACTGTAGAGCAGATTATGACCACTGCATTTATATCCATGTTAATAATGCATGTATTGCGTATTGTTATTCTGATATGTAAAACGTGACGCAACGACACACCAAGAATAAATTATAAAAAATAAAGTCACATTTTCTGGCCATATCAATGGCAGCACAACAATGGGTAGCTCCTCTCTATCCCTAATTAGACAGGAACTAATTAAATTAAAGGTATAAGTACCACCTCCTATCCCCTCCTCCCTCAGCCTTTTTGTTTCTGTCCTATCCCTATAGGACATCTTAGTCTTGGAATTAATAAATACTTTTTATTTTATGGCTTACCTAAGGATTGGTTCCTCTGGCCCCTGGAGAAATCAGCCTCTCTCCCTTGGGAAGTCTCCAGTACACAGCCCTGCGCAAAGGTGACCCCCTGGAGAAACCCCTTTAGTGACCAAGGTTTCTGAACTGCAGTGACCCAAGGGGTAGCAAGATGATATGCCATGGCCCTTTGCACTGCAGTGACACTAGGGGTAGCAGTAGGCAAGCAAAGATGGAATTAATTATTCATAAATATTGCACTTACAAGATGGAAGTGTATAATAGGCACATCACAAATAGTAATCACGGTAGCAGCAAACAGGAACACCTTCAACAATAACGTAGTCTGGTGGGGTCCTTCAGCAGCATCAAGATAAAAAAAAAAGACAGTAGAAACAAAATAAAAGAAACTAACACTAAAAAACAGGCCCTACGCGTTTCGTTCAGATAACTGAACTTCCTCAGGGGGAAAATAGTTATAACAAGTCTCTAAAAGTGCAATATTTATTAAAAATTTATGTTGTTTTAGAAACTCTGTACTATTATTCCTTATTCTTCTCTCCTATATGCTGGAATCTGAATACGAGGATATTCTTCATATTATTTGATATGCCTTCAATCAATTTGGGTTTGTGAGTGTGCAATTTACCCATTTACATTATGTTTTAGATATGGCAATATTGCCCTATGTTTTTCTCTTTTTTTTGCATTGTAGTTACCTGTGTGTTGGTACTTTGTATTAAGCTTCTGAAATAGAATTTTCCAGACAGAAAACATCAATAACTGAGCTCCACACTATATTATTTATCCCTTGCAACATAAAAATAGAAAACAAAAATGCATGCAGAGCCATGGCCCGTGGGCATAAAAAAATAAAATTATAATAATAATTGGCTAGCCATTTATTAACAGAGTTGAATTATTACAGTAATGCTTAAAATATAAAAGGAGGACCCCATCAAACTAAAATTAATAGTGGTGTGTCTCGCTCAAAGGAGTTCATTTCACATATTTATATGGCAAAAAAAAAGCTAAAAATATTTACACTGGACATATTTTTTATAACAAATATATAATGTGTATATCATCCATTACACAAGTCGGGAAAATACTAAAAAGACAATGCTTGGGGTGAGCAAGTATAGGATAAAGATTTCTATGTGAATATATTCACCCCTCAATTGCTGGCTCTGGGTTAGGAACAAATTAAGATACTTATTGTTCACACTTTGTTTGAGTGCTCACTGTTACCATTGTTTCAAGTACTTCCCAGACCCCTAATCACTGCATAGTGCCCCTAAATAACTTGGCCAAAAATTGTACTACCTTAAGGATCGGAAGGCTGCATTCCACGTCCTGTTTGTGTTTAGCACATTAAACAATTACTATATTTTAGGTATTAGTCTTACTTGACACACCCCTCTTCCCAAGCTTGTTGATTCCCCCCTGCATTCACCCCCCCCCCAAAAAAACAAAACAAAAACAAAAAAACAAACAGAAAAAAACAAACATCGGTCCCATCTTATTAAAGACTTTGGACAGCATTGATCTACAAAGTGATTAAGATCAAACTTGGGAAGAGACATCAGCACTTTAATGGAGCGGGTGTAAGGCTATTGCTGTCATTAGGTCAGTGTAAGGATTATGGTTGGTTGGGGTGTCCTGGTCCATGATGTTCAGTAGATAGTATTTTATCATAGGAATAACATGGAGAAATCTTCTTACTATCAACCATGCTTGAACATGAAAAGTTACGGGTGTTCCATTTAAATGATGGGAAGGAATTCTAGAGGCAGATGTATAGGATATGCAGGCATCATGTGAATGACTGACCCAACACTGGCTAAGTGTACTTGGGGGAACGTGAAATGCAGTCTGTAACATACCTATACAAAGCTGCCAGGTTATACTCTGCAAAGATAGAAAAATTGCTTCCTCCCAAACGGGGAGGCTGCTGTAATTTAAAGAGCTGCATTCTAGAATTCTGATCTAGCCATATGAAGTTCTGAACAGGCTAATTAAACCGCAGGTATAGCTCATCCCGGCATCCCTACAGGGCTTAAAAAGAGGTCATGTAGATTAACACAGCCAAGAGGACCAGACGCTGTAAGAAAAGTTGTGCGTTTGCTCTGATTCCAGTTGCAAAGAGCACTTTTCTGCAGAAAAGTATAAATTGCTGAGAGAGCAAGGATCTTATTGCTGTTATGGGCCATATTGTGCAAGTGAAGCTGTTTGTTCTGCCTGTCTGCTTAAAATCTAGACATTTAAAACGACTCTGCCCTTCCCTCCCCCATAATGAGCATTTTGTTGCAAAAAACCTCTTTATGAAATGCTCATAAAGATTGTGTAGAAATTTCACAGAAATTTCAACCCAGTCAAAATATATTACAAGTCAAAGTAAGGACTGCAATGTCTTGTGTATTTTTCCTACACTTGACAAAAGAAACAGATTCAGGGAAGTAAAACTACCTCGCCCAGCCCCCCATGACCTCAAAATACAAGCCGGAGCAGTCACCAATTGAGGTCTTTGCCAGCACAAAACAAGTTCAGTTTAACTTTAAAGCAGCTCTGCCCTTCTGGGGTCTTATAGGGTTACGTATTGGCCCTATAATACTGGTTAATAAATAAGTGCACTTCACATGAAAACCACCAAAGGAGGGTGTCCTAAATACCTAGCTCCATGAGGGTATGGGGCCAGGATTGCCCCACACTGTTAGGATAAGCAGTTAAACCATTTGAGAACAGTTTGACCACTTGCATGAGGTTTGCAGGACACCCAACCTCCTCCCAAGAGCTTCTATTAGCTCTACCGAGCTAAACCTTCCAGAGATGGCTCATTGGCCGAGAACATCAGCTAAATTACATCACCCAATGAGCACCTCCCTGCACTGCCAAGCTTAGCTCAATACATTGCGTACAACTGCAGGAGCCCGCCACACCTCATGTAAGTTGTCAAACCATTCTCACAAATGTTTTGACTACTTACCCTGGGAAGGTGTAAGTACATCATCTGATATCTACCATAATTATTAATGTTTATAAAGTGCCAACAAATTCTGCATTAGTGTACAATAGGTGGACTAACAAACAAGTATTTGAAGCAAGACAAGTTGGACGCACAGAAACAGAGGGTGTTGAGGGCTCTGCTCAAACGAGCTTACATTCTAGAGCAGTGGTTCCCAACCCAGTCCTCATGTACCCCCCAACAGTCCAGGATTTAGGGATTACCCAATTGTGTCTAAGGTGTTTTTAGAAAGAAAGAAAATACAACACTTTAGACACAACAGGGTAATCCTTAAATCCTGCACTGTTAGGGGGTACTTGTGGACTGGGTTGGTAAACCCTGTTCTAGAGGATAACAGAGTGTCATTCTGAATTTGGATGAAAGATTTAGACTTGTTACACATGTATAAAAACATCCATACAATCACTTAAATCTGGTGGGAAATAACAAAGACAAACAGTGATGAGTGAGGTACATGAAGGAATAGAGACTTACCTCAAACACAATAACAAAAGCTAGCCGTATCACCATGAGTACCCAAAAATCAAAGGACAGATTCCCCTCCGAGTCTCTGAATCCTTGATACCTGAAAAGGTGATCACAAACTTGGAGTAAAACATGGTATTCACAGTAATTCCTCAGTATCCAACACTAAAGGGACACTATAGTCATCCAGACCACTTCAGCCCCACTTAAGTGGCTTGACAAAATTTGGAGGGACTGCACCCAATGACTCCTTTCACTATAACCACTACAATAAGTAACAGTGTTTATAGTCTCCTTTTAATAGGATTATCGCTATTCAGCTACCAGTAAACAAATGTATCTCTGGCAACAGAGTCCAATATACTTTTAAATAAAGACTTGTTTTAAGATTTCAAAGCTCTGTTATTTCTAGTTTGGGGAGAGGAATCACTTACCTGCAGGGGGAATGGTCCTTCGCATACACCTCAGGAGCGTTAGCCAAAGTAAAGTTGATGTATCCAGTTAAATTTCCATTCATCTTGTACTGGTAATAAGCACGGGGCAGAATGTCGGATGTGAACGCCACTAGAAACGCCTGTATTATATAATTGTTGCATTATAATCTTTATGAACACAATCTCTGCAGTACTTAGTGATGCTCTGCACTCATACAGTCGTTCTGCTATGGCAATAGTATGGGTTTAACTGTGCAGTCTTAAACAGAACAAGTGCACTGTATGTTTGTCTTAATGATGAATGTTCCAAGTATGAGTTACAGAGATTAACCCCTTAAGGACACATGACGGAAATATTCCATCATGATTACCTTTTATTTCAGAAATTGTGTCCTTAAGGGGTTAAAATCCTGGATCTAAGACTTAATCAGTCTCTTACAGGGAACCTGTCACCCCCAAACAACTAATGCTATTTTTAAATAGGTTTAATAGACTATGCCAAAGAATGATTGGCAGAGAACGCAGAGGGGACCACTCCCACTGGAGGTCTTTCTGCGCTCCACCCATAGCAACCACAGCGCATGCTCCCTGGTTGACGCTGGCTATGGAGTATAGTAACGGAGTAACAGTGTACAAGCAGATGAATGGTGTCATGGAGCAGATGTTCCCTGCTTGAGGAACCTTCCCAAAGCAGGGCAAATTAATGAGGAGCACGGGCAGATCGGAGGTGGGTGTTACAGAAGTGTACCTCTCTAAGTATAAAGTGGCGGGGGAGTTATGTGATAAACACTGTAACTACACTGAGGCTGAGAGTGTTTTAACTACTTGTTTTAAGCTTGTCTTATCTCAACCATTATCAGTATTTTAGGACCTTTAGTTGTGGCATTCTTCCTTTTTGGGATGGTGCATAGGTATATTTTACTTCTCACTATTGGGGAGATTTATCAAAGCAAAGAATATAAAAAAAAATCAGGTGTTCTTCTAAGACAAACAGCCATCACCATGGCAACCATGAAGCACCTAATTATTCAGCACTTTGTACCCAAAATATCACAAATGTTGTCTTAAATAAAATGTAGAAAAGATTAAGGGGATAGTTATATGCCCCTCCACCCCTAAGTCTGTCTTAAATTTGAGGTTTCTTCCTACTTAACCATTTGCACTGTTTAGGTACTTTCTTTGTGTCTCTCCCTGCAATATATTATAGGCCTATGGTTAGCTGAGCTGTGTGCACGAACGTGTGAACCGTCAGGCATTCAAATTCAACTGAAAGGAAAATTAACATCAAAATAGCCAACATGGAAACATTTTCTAAGTATACTGCTTTCAGGTCAGTGATATTGCTGTAAAATTTGAAGTTCACTTAAAAATTTAGTGTGAACTCAAAACTGTTCACACTTCTATTAAACTGTGCTATCAATGTGTCAGAGAAGTTGGCAGTCTGTGGGTTCCGTGGAGAGCCCTATTTTTTTTGTCAAGTTGCCTTAAACCCCTTAAGGACCAAACTTCTGGAATAAAAGGGAATCATGACATGTCACACATGTCATGTGTCCTTAAGGGGTTAAAACACATGACAAATTCAGGTGACAATGCCCAGAAGTTTTAGGTAACACTCTGGTTATTGGTCTCCTATTAGAAACAAACAACCAACCATAAATGATACTCACGTTGCCAATGACTGCAATAGAAGTGATGGCCTCCAGAATGGACATCCATATTCCGATGTCTTGAGCACGTGTAGCTACTGGACGACGGTATTCACATGCAAATTTCTTAGCATCCAGGCGCACCTCAATCCAATTGTTGAGCAAGGCAAAGAGCGGGGCCAGGGGACAGGCAGCCACAAATATGGTTATGAATCCAAACTGTATGACTGAGAAAGATAAATTTAAAGGACAAACTGACAATATGAGATTGTAACCTTTCAATTATTTATGAGATACCAAAGAAAGCACATACTCAAAATAGTCACTTTAACTTTCGACTGGGATCACCAATATCATAGGATGTTTGACAGCAACCATTAAATTTAGACAAGAAAAAAAAAAAGTATTTTCTATGTCCTAATAGAGCAGACTTTATCCAGACATATCATGCCAAGAGTAACTTTCCAATCCAGAGTTTGATTCAAGCCTTGCACAGAGCTATCAGAGGAACTCCTAAGATTCTTCAGCAAACCCCCACAATTCCCAACTTTTGTAGGAAAAAATGACCACTTATGTTGCAGTTTAAAGCATGCCTCTTTCTCGGTTTTATTGTAAAGCAAACACAAAGCTTACCCTTGAGTGCATGATGTGTCTGACCACTTCATGTGTCTGTCATCTAGAGTGTTTAGCATGATACAAATTTAGCTACATCACTACAAACCAATGGTTTCTTACCCCTGAATTGGGATCCAAAAATAAGTCCCCTTGCCATTTTACTAGGTGACTCTCTACTTTATTATTGTCACTGCATTAGGGTGTAGGGTGTGATTGCATGCCAGTGAGTGGGGTGGGCAGGGTCTAGGGGCTCCAAGCTAATGCTTGCCAAGGATCCAATAATTATTAAAGATGGCCCTAACTGAGTCCCTACTAGAAGGGATATGTACAATATATTCGTCAACCCCAGGCTAGTCATTCCAATTTAATGTATTTTATTGTCAGTTACGTTGCACTTTGAAATGGGTCACTGGCCCAATGCCAAATACATGATTTGGATCCCTGTCAAAGAAAAGGTGAAAACCTAACTCTCTAGTTAAATTCACAAGTTTAGCTGATGGCAAAGAATGAGTTAGGTTGCAATTCAATTGGCCTTCTGTTCCTTGACATCTCTTAACTAAACCAGTTCTGATGGATATTACAGCCCAACCCAACATTCAATGAATGACCCTCAACATCTATATTAAAGGCCCTTCTGGACAATGCAGGTTTTATCTTTCCTAAACAACAACAAAAAAACTAAACAGGATTTTAACAAGCATCAATACTTCAAGGGCACACAGGAGGTTGGGACATACAATTCCATAAACAGTGACACCTACAGGATTTTGCATACTCAAGGGTGACTGGACAGAAAATCAGGATTTGGTTGGCTAGGACTATCTTCATTGTGTAGCAGTGTTGCTATCTATGTGTTGTATAGATCTTTCCTGATGCTTTGACAGCATTATGGCTATAAGAGCATTATTGGACATGTGGTCCACAACATCTGGAGTGCCGAAGGTTGCCTACCCCTGGTGTAGGTAGATTGAACATCCTTGTATGTCCAGAAAAGGACCATGGGCTCTGAGTAGGTTACCAGTTTGGGCCCTCCTCCCTTTCATTCTTCACATATGGATGGTTAATGGGGCCATGCAATTGATGGTTCTGGGGCCACGGCTAATCCCTGGAACCTAGGCGGTTGGCATACACACAAAGCAAGAGTAACTATTAGCCAACCCTGATGCAAACACTTCTATAGTTTTATAAATACTAAGTAATATTCAGACATATATTAGTATAAGTCTGGTTTAAAAGTAATGAACAATGAAGACCAAGAAGGGTAATTATCCAGTGAGGATATACGGGAAACCTCTCACCCATTTCCAAGTACTCATCAAACAGTCCCTTATAGGTAATCATCTGGTAATCCCTCTCCCATGGATTTATCTGCTCATTCTTCTGGTCCTTATTAGAGCTCAGTGTCATCCTGTGCCAGCAGAGCTCCAACTTCCTGGAAGAGAAATAATGAATGTGGATTATATTACTAGAGGTAACAGTTATTCCCTAACGGAATTGCAAATTTTAGACAAGTTGAAAACATTCTCCAACTCAACTCTTTCCCAGATTGGTTAGTTTGCAATTTCTCCTTCAATGACACAGCATTGCAACAGTTCTATGCCCCCAACACATGATATGCAATGCTATAGACACAAATTAGAGAACCACCTACGTCATATATTATACAGTGGGAATACAAAATTTGGAGCCTTGAGATCAGAGACCTGATTATGTTCCACGCACATTCTATGACATGTCCAGGTTACGATGACCATCCATGTAAGAATGAATGTTAAGATATGTCTGAGTCATGCTAAACATCCCTGGCCATAAGAATCTGTGGCACCAAATTTCAATGCGTGTAGATTCCCCCATTTATAGTATCATGGAAATTATACTATAAGTATATTAGTAAGAGAAACTCCAAGGACCCAAGATGTACAAGACTGTTTCATTGAATCATGTTTTTTCCTCATGATGGCAGATGCACGTGTTTGTTTGTTTTCCCCCCACTCGCAACAAAAAAGTCCTGTAATTGTGCCACTCTTTTCCAATAGGAAGAAAGAGAAAGGACTAGGAAACGTGGTATGTGTTGTACTTTTTATGGTAACTAGTGCTGTGGAGTAGATTCTACAAAAACTTACTCCTTATAAATAATAAACACTTCAGTAGGTACCCACTTCTTTTCTCATATGGTTGCATATGGATACATACAGAAAACATGGCTTCACAATGGCTACTGTATGTTTCTCTCAAATAGCTGAGATTTATGGGAAAATACAGATCTCCCAATGGGCAGAAAAACACATGGGAGAATTCGAAATGTCACGGAGGACAGTCCGCTCCCACATTTCCAGCAAATGAGGGATTTTCACAAATATGTAGCGGTTCTTGTTTTAATGAACTATGAAGAGTATTAAATGAAACTTGTAAATTCATCTTCTAATCCTAAATTACAATGCAAAGTGTCATCATAAAGAGCCATTTTAAAAGTAACATTATGAATTAGAGGTTTTAAGACATTTAGGGCACTGACCTGTTGGTGCTTAGAACAAATTTAATGATAAACTCAGTATACTCACGGAAACAGAAATTCTTTAATGTTGTTAAGAACTTGTTTCCCAACCATAATAATTAGCATCTGCTGAGCCAGTTCAATGAGGCACCCTCCAGGTTTACACTGTGAAAGAGACAGGGCTGGTGTTGAGAAATGGGCAAACCTGCAGTTCTAGCCTGAATTTTATATCAGTTTCATCATCTCCCTACTTTGTACAAAGCAATAGATGAGATATATCTCTTTGTTGTGTTCTGAAACATGGGGTAACATTCTAAAAAAAAGGGGGGGGCAATTACCATGAAAAACAGTGCAATCGGCATTAACCCCTTAAGGACACATGACGGAAATATTCCGTCATGATTCCATGTTATTCCAGAAGTTGTGTCCTTAAGGGGTTAACATTTAATTTATGATTGCTCAATTTTTCAAAATACGCATATATTTCCCAAGTAGAGTTTGAACATGAGAAGAATCTGCTGAAGAATTCTTAAAAGCCCTTAACTCTCTGGCATGCGTGGCTCCGAGAAAGAAAGCTAACCTAACTACCTTCATGATATGGGAGAGACTCAGAAGTCATGCATGTCAGGACCTAAATGGGAGACAGGAGAGACACAGTAGAACAACTGCCCACAAAAGGGGGATAAGAAACAGAGAGGACTAACAGAGACATATAAATTGAAGTTGCTATTCAGAAGGAAAGATATGGCCTGAGCACTCTTCAAAAAGTTAGTAATCTCAAACTTTTCAACTAATATGTGTATTTCATTAGCTAACAAGGACATCATCACTACATCAGGTGGGTCAAACTGTAACCACTTCAACTAGTGTTGACCTACATAATTCTGCCGGGCTATGGTTGTTGGACTTTTGTAAGTTGTAGTTCAAAATAGTTGGGAAAGTAGACTTTACCGGGTTCCTTTTCTATAGTACCCATCAATATGTACAGAAATGACCAGTTTGGTTTTGTTAAAAGAAGGGTAGAAGGCCACGTCAAAGACTAAAGAATAAAAGCTGAAGTGCTTTAGGGGACTAAAAGTGTTCCTTTAATACTCACATTTTCATTCCGATATCGGAAAATTGTAGTTTCATTACCGGGATACCCCAAAAATCTACGGAGAAAAGGCATTTACAACTGAATAATGGACTTCAGTGTAAAATAATACAACATCAGATACAATATATAACACCTCATAATAATACATGGCACAATAAACCATTACTTCCTATCGTCCAATGACCACTGAAAATAAATACGTTAAATAATACGTATATAAAGATAAGTAGATAAATAAGACTGTAACAACTAGTAGGGTAAAGGCAATTTCTACTTAACCCTCACACACAGGCTGACTGTAAACATTTTTTTTTTGAGGTCCGTTGCATGATCAGGATTAAATAAAATGTGCCAAAGAACAAATACTAACCATATAGCATATCCTATCTTGATACAAGAGACCACTAGGAGAAGTGGAGACATTTTGTTAAACATCTATTACACAAACAGCACTTTAATCTAGCCTGATAAATTCACCACAAATGTTTTTTGTTTTTTTTAAAAGAAAGTGAGGACTAAGCAATTTGAAAAGACAAAGAAACAAATGACATCTCAATGACATCGCTGTCCCTTTATCTGTGAATGATTGGTTGCAGCTATTGGAATAAGAAATGGGGAGGGGGAGAGGGTCGAAACACTAAGGATGTCCATCTTGCTGACGCAGTCTCGATAATTTCTTGGCTGGTAATAAGTGGGTATGGGCAGATAGGTACGGGTATAGTTAGATGGACACAAGTAAGGGAAGAATTATAGGCAGTAGGACACATGTTTATGCAGAGGGACTCAAATAGGGCAAAGGGGTTATTTAACTAGTAATACAAGTGGGAGAAAGGGGGGTGTATAGGCTGAGGCAATAGACATAGGGGAAAGAGAGAAACTGTATATGCAGAAGGACACAAGAGGAGGAAGGGGAACAGAGGCAGAGGAACACAGGTGGTGGAAGGAAATAGACAAGTGAAGGAGAGATAAAGACTAGTGTTAGATGGAGAGATATTCAAAGGGGTAGATGTGGAAAAATACACTACCAGCGCATGTCTATATTTTTACATTGTCATTCCACACATATACACTCCTGCATTAATATACATAAATGCCATATATATATACATATATATACACACACACACACCCCTACATTCATACACACACATAGGGTCCAAACTTTAGTGAATTTAAATCCAGAAGGCAAAAGGAAGGCTGAAAGAGCCAAGTTGTGACAGTAGCAGAGTTGTGAAACTCTCAAAATCAGCTTTTTTGCCATGCTGAATTGAATTCACTACAAGACGGAGTTTAGGGATTTTCAATCCTGCTCTATTGCCCCTCCTGAGATTGGGTTCTGGATCAGCCCTTGCTACCACGTATGAATACAAAAGGTTCGGTTTGTTGCCCAACACAGAAAACACTCATTCATTTTGTAATTAATCTTCATGTCCTTTCTCTATATTGAACAACTCATATAAAATAGACTGGAATACTGGGCAGAATTGGGGAGCTGGTAGTTAACCATCTATCTCTGCCAATCTGAAAAAAAATCAGTGACTGACTTTGCACATAATTTACTATAAAATTGGCCCTTTATAAAAGGACATAAACATTGACAAAATACCTCTTAGCAGAAAGGAAGCCATTTTGTCACATGCATGTTAGATGTACAGAGTGTAAGCTTCAAAGTACAGCCCCCTTGACTTTTAGTTAACTTACCTGCCTTTAAGAAATGCAATGTAAATTGGAGTGGAATAATAATTAACAAACTCAAATATGAAGACTTTGAAGGTGAAAGCATCTTCATATTGAGTCTCAGTTCGGTGCATCTCTGGAAGGTAAAAAAGAGCGATTAGGAAGAAGCATCAGGAAATCCATTCTGCACGCCATGGCACAGTAATGGTTAAAGTTTGGATTTGCTTTTAAAGGTTGACTACATTTCCCATGAAGCTCAGTCACTTAACAATAAAAGTTAATATTACAGACATTTATAGGCAGGTCAGTACCGGAGCCGGTGTCCCCTGATACTTTTTGACTATATGTTTAAGATTTTAGGACTTTCATAATTTTGTGTTACTCCCTAAACCAGAAATTTTCAGGAATTCATCAGGAAAATTTTACACCAAATAGTTTACATAGAAAAATAGCAGAGTTGGACATTTTGGCCTAATATATGGAATTCTAATTGCCAAGTTGCTGAATAAATCTATGGGCTGCTTTGTTTTCACCAATATTGAGGAATTCATAATACCATATAAATGCATTCCACTAATCAGAGTTATCATAGAAATGTTGGGTAATGATACATATCGTATTGCCCACGTTGGATCACTCACCCCATTGAGTCAAAAAGTGAGCCAGAGATACATAAATTCTGGAGAGAATGAGGGTTATGATCAAACTAAGCACAGAGGATGAGACGCTGGTAATAAGACTGGCCTATGGGATAAAATGAGCAATAATAAGAATATGTTAATCAGAAGTTAAATCAGTATTAACAGTAAAAGTGACAAGCTATAGATCAGGGTCATCAAACATATGTTTCACGGACCCCATGAATTTGGCCCAAGTCAAAGAATGTGTTGGGCACCCTGTGACTTGGTGTGCCAATAGATTTAGGGACCCACTGCCAGTGTGGTAGCAAGACATTCTGTAGGGTGAGCAAGCCCAGCGCCCCAAATTTTAATCAAAGAGAGGCATGGAACATAGGAATCTGCCTGGCCTCCACATGTTGCTGCACTTGGCTACACAGGGAAAGCAGCATTAAAGAGCCAGGGTTCCTCATTATGAGCTCCACTTGCCACCTGGACCTACAGCAAAGCAAAAAGCCACACCATCACTGTAAGCAATGCCGAAGAATGTGTGTGTTTGTGGGAGGGGGGCACAGTCTGTGTCAAAATGTGTGTGTCGGTCAAGATATGTGTTAGTTTGTGGGTGTTCAGGATCTGTGTCAGTATGAGTGTGCCAGTGTTTGGAAGGCGATCAAGATATGTGTCACTTAGTATGTCAGTGCACGTGTGGGGGGTGAACGTTTGTGTAAGTGTGTGTGTGTCAGTGAGTGAAGGGTCTCTGTGTAGGTTTCTTGCTACTGCCTTTGTGTATGTTTTGTCAATGTCTTTGTCACTGTGTGTTTTGGTGTGTGTGTCTATTTTGGCATATATGTAAAGTCGGTCAATGACTCTGCATCTCTTTTAGGGCCTATGTAATTGCTTTTGCTGGGTCTGTCAGGATCTCTGCCGTTGTCTGTGTGTGTCTTTCAGTCTCTATGTCAGTGTCCTTGTCATTCTTTGTGTGCCACTGTCAATGTCTTTGTTTATGTTAGTGCTTATGTCAGTGACTCTCTGTGCTTCTGTATCTCGGTCAGTAGCAAGAAACCTATATGGGAGTTGCACTCACGATATGATGATTAGGCTTCTGTAGAACAAAAGGGTGCTAATGGGACCAAAACAGTAATTAACTCCATTTAGAGAATTGAAGAAATAGAAGGGTACCAGGCACTATAAAGATGGTTTGTGGCTTTAGTTAAAGGAAGCAAAAACGCAATGTTTCGGTTATCGTAGCTACCTATCTCAAGCTTGTGTATATAGAAATTGTATTAATTCGGTCCTCCAGACCTATTTCAGGTGATAATTTGGCCTTCCAGAACAAATGAGTGACACTTCTGTTATAGATGATAATATATAGTATTGTTTACGCAAAATATAGTTTGTTATACATGTGGACAATGGAATTTAAACCCAAACTTTCATTTAATTTATATAACTGACAATTCTCTGGTGAAATTGCACACGGTTAATGGGACGTGAGGCAATTTTTACATCTCAAAGCAACACAGTCACATATGCTACGTTCTTAGTGAAAATCATTCTGTGATATTTGAGATCAGTGTATAAAAATTTTTTATAAAAATATTCAATTTGATTTTATGAGGAGATGGCAGAAATAGATTAAATCAGTTTCTTCAAACCATCAGACATGGGAGGACACATGGTTGTTTAAAGGGCATTTAGTGGACTGCTTTGGTGTCTTATTCATTTCTCCTCTCCAGCTATAGTGTTCGTATGTATTTTAGGTTGTAGTTCATCTCAGACCTTTAACTCACACCCCATCTTTAACCCCCTTGTCTTATTCCCAAACCTAAATCACTAATCTGAATTTGGTGATTCATTTGATAGTGGTGGTCAATGCGGTTATGATCAAAATGGCAACAATTCCACTGAACACGTGTTAAACTCATTAGCAAGTTAAATTACTGCTAAATACCTTGTGTTAAACATATTAATAAAATGGCAGGAACTCACAGATGAATAGATCATTCCTGATTTGACCACCACCAAAAAGATGATGATACGGTATAAGATGACAGATATTAGGAATATGATGACAATGGCTATCTGTAAAAGAAGAAAAATAATTGGATGGAGAAGTTAGATCACCCATTTAAAAGTGCCTTAACTTCAACACATTTCTCACAAAATATATGCAATTCACGGTGCACACCATCTACATTCTACATGCTCCAAGCAGGACCTTCGGTAATGTCTGTCTTGGGTAAAGTCATTCTGAGAAATCACATTTCCACAATTTTCCAGCTTGACGTATAAATGAGTACAGGCAGGCATCGTGTGTCAGACTTCAAACTGCATTTCTGTAGGCACCCTTAGCAATGGAACATTATTGAAAACACCGTTTTATATTCTAAGAATGAGTTGTAAAACGGACTATTCACCAACTATGGACTGTTCAATCTTGATCCTTTGGGTCTCACTAACATAGTGTTGGTCCGGGTTGGTCCAGAAGTCAAAGTCTTAACTTTAACACCCCAACTATTGCACTTTATTTGTTTATAATTTTGAAGTGAGAAAAGTACTGGATTCATATTGTAAGTAATCAAGACAAATTTCACAGATGGATAATGATAATGAGAAGAAGACAAAATATGTTCCCACCATTAGTACGATGACCATGGATCCTGCCAAGACTCTACGCAATTGTCGAGTTTTTGGGAAATATGGCTCTTCCATCTTGGTGATGGGATTCAGGATTGTGAGAGGGGCTAATGCCGTGAACTCAGGCCGTGGTGGTTCCTGGAACAGAACTACAATGGATCAGTAATACTGACTGAGTGTCTAACACAACAACAAGATAAGACTGTTAACTTAAAAACTGGTTACATAACAATAAATTAGACATTGAGCTGACATAAAGGGGAACTTTTACTACCCAGTATTTATAATCTAATCTTTACTTATTCCCTGTGTTTAAAAAAAATTTTTTGTGAGGTTAATATGTAGAAATCCACACATCTATTCCAGAATTGGGCTCTTGGCTTTATGTCAATCATCACTTTAAATCTTGTCCTTTTCTGCCATTAAACATATTCAGGGCCGTCTTTGACAAGGGGCAAACGGGGGATCTGCCCCGGGCCCAATAACTCATGGGGGGCCCAAAGCAGCTGCCCCGTGGGCCTCCTGCCCGCAACCAGGACTGAACAGCCCACCGTGTCAGTGTATGTGTACCTTGGTGTCAGTGTTTGTGTATCTAGGTGTATGAATACTTGTGTATCAGTTTGTATGTGTACCTTGTGTGTATGAGTGTCAGTTTGTGTAAGTGTGTATCTATGCATGTGGCGATGCATACATTCCACCATTCCAGTACCAACACTGCACACATACACACTACTACATTCCAACGCTAACACTGCACACAAATACACCACTCCATGTGTATCTGTGTTCTTGTATGTATCTCAGTGTTTGTGTAAGTGTGCATCTGTGTGGCAATGCATACATCCAAGCTTTCCTACACCAACACTGTGCACAAATACACCCCTGCATGTGTACCAGTGTGTTTGTGTGTATCTTCGTGTGTACAGATCTGTGTCAGTGTGTGTAATTGTGTATCTCTGTGTGTGTATGTGCCAGTGTTTTTATCTGTGTGTGTGTATATACGCCAGTCTCTTTGTGTCAGTCTGTGTATGTGTCCAGATATGTGCATGTATCAGTGTGCTAATGTGTATGGATATCTGAATGTATGTCATACATGCCAGCAATCAAACACAACATGCAAACACATCCCTGCAAACACAAACATTACATGCAAACACACCCCTGAATTAAACTCAAAAAGTATATATAAACACACCCCTTCACTCTAACACCAATACTACACCCTACATGCACACACATACTCTATACAACAACATGCTCACATTCAAATGTACAAACACTGCTCACAAATACAGCCCTGCAAGAATGGCCAAATGGTAGAGCCCCAGCTGGCATAGCATCGTGGGAATTGTACAGCAGATGAGGATCTATCTTTTCTCCATTTGGGAGGCCCAAAAAATGTGTTGCACCAGGGCCATCTCTACATTAGTTCTGCCACTGTGTTGGGGTGGAGGGCATGAATGCATGCCAGGGGGTGGAAGAGTGTGGAGGGGAAGGGCAAGATCCAAGGGGCCAAAGCAAATGCTTGCCCAGGGTCCAATCAATGTTAAAGAGGGCCCTGAACATATTTGCAGAAACCAAAAAAAAAAAAAAAAAAACTACAAAGTAGATTAAAGGATTTTTTAATCTGTTATAAAATATTCTCTGAAATTCAACATTCATTAGGATCCACAGCATAAAAGAATGGGTTTAAGGTTCAACCTGATGGGCTTTAGTTATTTTTATATATTTTTTCAACCAAGACAATTCATACTTTTATTGCTTTTCACCTCGTGTCTGTAAACTTTATTCTGTGTCTCAGTTATTTGTCACTATGTAGAATTGTAAAGCACTACAGAAACTGCACCTATAATTAAAGGAACACTCTAAGCACCAGAATCACTGCTTGCTGTAGTGGTTTTGGTGCCAGTAGTGCTTGCCCCCCACACTTCCCCCCCAAGAACTAGCGGTTCCTAAGAAGGAGCTTTTATTAGCTCTCCTGAGCTAGGCCTTCAGCTGATGCTCTAACCACAGGGGCTAAGCAAGCGCCAGCGGATCCACGCGGCGCTGGAATAAAGGTGAGTTTTAACAATTTTTAAGGGCGGAAAGAGAGGCCAGGGGCCTAAACTGCATTTTCAACACTATAGGGTCAGGAAAACACATTCGTGCTCCTGACCCTATAGTGTTCCTTTAAAGTGAGTTCTACTTACTGGAACCTTTCCCTTGTTGGCATCGTCTTCTTCTGGCAGGTCCTTCCTAGCTGCGCATTAACTACACAAGAGGTCTATGGAGGATGCCAGGAGACCGTTGGCCATTACTGGTGACGGCAGGGGGATTGACACTTCTAGACAGCGGTAGCTCCGTCCAGTGTCTAGAAGGGTCAGACGTAGAAGGAATACTGAGACAAATTAGTCCCTACTTTGTCTTGTGTTTTTAGTTAGAGTTAGGTGAAAAATGAAAGAAAGAGTAGAAAAGAGAAAGGGAACAGGAAGTGATAGGGAAAAGGTAAGGAAGGCGTGACAGTTCCACTTTAAGCGCATCATTAGGCCACCAAGGAGTCTCAGAGCCCAACAGGGACCCAGGTAAGAGGTCAAACCTTTGCTAAACCGGCTGCCAGATTACTGGGGAACCAGGCTAGGGTACTCCTAGCATCAAAACCACAATAGCGGGCTGTAGTTTTTATGATACATTGAGTAACCTTTTAAGGAAAGATGATGCCGATTTAACACGATTTCATTGAAAAAGAACATCAAGCAGGCCAATTCACAGTGCACATCTTCAAGTATTATCTGCACACTGATCAATAATAACAAATAAAGGCCCAGAATCATATAAAATCCTCCTTTTTTTGAAGCTGGATAGTTTTTGGCTGGAGTAAGATAGTAGTCGACTAATATGTCAAACATCTGGAGTGGTGGAGAAACAGACTGTGTAACCCAGACATTTTACAAGGTATCTATTTTCTAGCAAATGCTAGATGGCTCCATGGAATTTTTATGGACAAAGAAAAACTAAGAATACCATTAGATCACAAGGGAAATTTGCCCAATGATAGGAAAGCTCACCTCGATTTCAGTAAATTCCAAGCAGTCCCACCGATATGACAATGTGGCGTTATATCTTTTCCAATATTCTAAGAATGTAACTGACCAGACGGACATGAAGAAACTGAATAGAAGAGTCCCAACATTGTCAAACAGCACCCCGGCCTGCAGAAAACAGAGTTGAACAATTGTTTAATTTGAAAGCCTGTTGCAATCTTTTTGACATATTAGTATGCACACATAAAAGTTACATACATAAAAGTAAATTTTTTCATTTTTAACTCCCATAACACTTTATGTATCCATGCCTTAAAGAGACACTCCAAGCACCAAAAAATGTTTTAGTCTAATAAAGTATTTTTGGTGTATAGATTATGTCCCTACAATCTCACTGTTGAATTCTCTGCCGTTTAAGTTAAAATCATTTTCTCTAGTGGTGATCGAGATCGAGTGGATGCCATATTCCACAGCTAGAGCAGAAATGATCAAACTCTCTAAATATCATGAGCCCAACCACCCATTGAGCCTGTACTCACCTCCCCCGAGCATTCCCCCGAGTCGATTCATGCCATTCTCTCACACCAAAGACGAAACAACAGAAACGCAGACTTTGAGCCTATCTTTTGACTACCAGCCTTGGACTGGAAGAACGGTTTGGTGGTTCCTTGTCCGATACAGTAAATGAATCAGACACCATATCCACCTGTTAACCAGTTGAAGGAGTCTCAGTTATGGGGCGGCGCTCCCAGAAACCCTCAGCTAGCACATGAACCGAGGCAAGAGACCTCCGTAGTACTACTGACTCACGCGCACGTTCATCCACCCCTGCAGTCCTCGCCTCGAGGGATTATGCAAATTCCATGTGAGCTCAGAAGGGGCAGCCTTGGCCACAAAAAAAAAAAAAAGAGACATCCAGAACTTACCACTGAATACGGAAGCTGCTGGCAACAGGCGTGGGGGTAATAAAAGCTTATGTGCAAGCAATCACAAACTGGGTGTCACCTCAGAGGAGGATATCATTAACCTGCAACATGGTTTGTCTTCCGAGAGAGTTTCTATTAAGAATATTCAGGCTAACCACCATATGTTATCATTGCAATTAACTGCTATGGATGACAGATCTAGGCGGAATCATCTCAAAATCTGAGGTATTTCAGACGCCATCAATATGTATGATCTTACACATTACATCAGGCGCCTTGTGGCATCAATACTACCTCCAAGCTTGATTAAGAATGTTACCAACTTTGGGATTTACGGTTTAACCAAGTCACCCAGGGAACCAACCTCTGCTGTGCATGACGTAATTATCATGTCAACGTTACAAGGCAGGACAACTTACTCCTTTGTGAAATCCACCCCTTTTTTTTTTCAATACCTACCAAGGTCCATTCTACAGTGGCGACGATCTATCAAATGCAAATGCAGTTAGCTGGAGTATCGGTGGATGGCATAAAGAGCTCTGGTGGTGACTCGTAATGGGACTGTTCACAAAATATCTTGGAATACAGAGGCATCTGCCTTTCTTAGGGCTTTGGGACTTTCATCTTTTGCTACAGAGTCAGCAAGTCAACCTGAAACCCACATCTAGAACCCTACCAACTTAGTACCCTTTATGCTTAGAGGAGGGGTGGGGACACAAACAGGGACATGACTAGGCTGGTGGATACTGTGGAAGTTGACATAGTTTCCTTGTATATTTAGCTTTACAAAAGTTTTTCCATCTTCTTTTCACATGCTTTTTTATTCAGAGGACGTTCTCCCGACTAATTATATTTATCACCGTCTAAAACGTGTTTAATGTTATCGCATCAAGGTGATTGGTTTGGTCTGGCTCAGAATGCCATATTTGAAATGGAATCGTGTTGACCCCCTCTGCTGCCCCCTTGGATAGGGGTGTCAAATGCAGAGAGCCTATTGCATACATATATAATTTTCTTTTTACCTTCAGTTTATCGTTATTAGTTCATTACACATGCATTTTAATTCACGGATATCCTAAATCGTGGCCTTAATCTGCATTCCACTAATGATAAAACAAATTCTAAAAATAGGGGTAACACTCATTGCATATTTTATATCCTTAGTATGCATATTTTGCATTGTCTCTTTGTGTTGCACCAGGCATAGCTTTCTTTTTTAAATCACTTTGTTTAACCCCTTAAGGACACATGACATGTGTGACATGTCATGATTCCCTTTATTCCAGAAGTTTGGTCCTTAAGGGGTTAAGCAGCCATAGCCAATCCTCCCCTGTCTGTGACTTACAGTCTTCCTACATACTCCATGTAAAGTGAGATCTAATTGTTAAAATTCAATTAAACATGCAGAATATATGAACTATTAAAAGTAAACACACTGTGCTGTAAGATCAGAATGAAAATGAAGCCATTATTTTCATGCATGCTGTGAGAGTCACAACCAGGAGAGTTGTGGCAAGGGCTGCAAAACCAGAAACAAAAATGACTTAAATGAATGCTATAACCTTAACATGTATGATTTCCTAATGCTATAGTTTTTATCTAACAATACTAAAGTTTCCCCTGCCATGTGAGTACTCAAAGGGTGCGTTTCAGTCGATCCAGTTCTTTACCATAGCCAAGTTGTACTCAGCTATTTCTGCGGAAAAGCCTCTAGTGGCTGTCAGAATCACAGCTACTAGAGGCATTTAAACCCTCGAATGAAAACACTGCAGTTTTAAGTTGCAGGGTTATTAAAATTAGAGGGACAGGGCTCCCAGACCTCTTTATGTCCTTCTAATGTCCCTTCAACTCCTGAATGGCAGAGAATTTAGCAGTTAGACTGCAGAGGTATGATGTGTATACCAGGGATTGGCAACCATTGGCACAACCGATGTGGTTTACTACATCTATCATAAAGCTCTAACTGGCAAATATAGGCAAAGCATCAGGGGAGATGTAGTCCACAACATCTTTGAGTGCTGAAGGTTGCCAACCCTGGATCTAAATACCGAAACTGTTTGATTTAACAATTAATCATTTAAAACTATTTGTATATGATACACATATGAAAATTACGGATTTTAAAGCATACACTTGATTGTACTGAATTAGAAGTGCTGATTTGGTTGAAATACTCAAATTGCTAATTATAATCAAATATGAGAAAGACATATCTGGTTCATATGGTTTTTTTGTTTTTTTAAATTGGAGGAAGTTCTTCCAAATCAGGTTCGAATTCAGTTCACTGGAGAGTGTTTCCCCTAACATTTAGAAAATCAGTTTTCGGTGGGACCAGAACCAACATTACAAATGTATGCTCCTATATTCCAATAGAAACCCGGGTCATACCTCTGCACCATCAAAATTCCATAGAGCAAGCCTAATCTTTGTCCTTGTCTAATGAATACTATGGTATCAGCTACTACTAGCCGCATGCTCACCTTGTACAGGTTACATATGCTTGATAAGTTCCAGTACGGGCAGAGTTTACAAATGGGACACATGACGTACAAACTGTCACTCTGACAAACTTCCATCCTAAACCAGAGGAAAACATGGAAACAACGAATATTAATGTCATGTCACAGAGTATATACCTTCTTTTATTCTGTCAATCTGTATTGTAGCATCAGCAATGTACAGATAATTGTACTAATAATATATTAATACTATATTTTAGGTATAAGCTGAAGTACACAATTGGCTCAATATAGATTAGCTGCAAAGGAATTGGGTGAAATGGAACAAAAGTAAAAAGAATATCAATAAGAGAATCAGACACTAAAACCACATAAACTATATTAGTGGCTATAGGGGATCGGAGAGAAACTGCTACGGAAAGGTTCCAAAATTAGAGGAAACATGCTTTTATGAATGGGGAGCTACACCAGCGGATGCTCTCAGCCAAACAGGGGGGCCTCTGTCTGAGGCATCTTCTTTCAAGAATCTCAGAGAAGCGGAAGAACACAGGCAGAGCTAAATGGGGCTGGATTCAAGACTTTTGGGTTAAACAGTTTGTGACTTGTTTAACCTTTAAAAGGTAAGCCAACAGCAGGGACCTCCTGGTACCATAACAACTTCATTCCAATTAAGTTGTTTAATGCCCAGAGTGCTCCTTTAACTTTCAATATGTGGTTCTCCCTATTTATTATGGACATTGAAAATATTGTAAATGAAATAAGTAAAGCTTACTAATTGGCGATACCCAGCAGATTCCTGAGCAGTAGTGACTTTCAGGCATAAAGCATAGAGGGGTTTGACATTATTGGAGATATTATAATTTTTGTAAAATTAGTCGAAAGCATTTCATGACGTGTAATTAAAGCGTTACTTCTACTGTATTGTCCATGAATTTGTTTAAACCACGCTATACTTTTTTTTTTTTGTGAAGGCTATAACATTAGTACTTATACTTGAATTGGGATACCAAGAAGATGTATACCCAATTCAAGACATGTACCCCACAGCACATGTATACTTTGAAACCGTACTCACGTAGGAATGTCATGGACTGTAATATAAAAGCCGAACATAAACACGATGGTTCCAATCACAGCAGCAGGAAGAAGCCAAGTAGTGTAGAAACCTGCGGAATTGAGTTAGAGTACTACGTAAACATAGCTTATGGTCATATAAACATAGAAGGGTTCATTCAAAGACATTCAACAAGACAATGACAAAAAGTGAAACTGCCAACATTAAGTACTAGGAGTCTTGTACAGTTGGTTACAATTCAGAATAACATTTTACTATTCCACATGCCACAGCCACTATTTTATGGGCCGTTTCCATTTAATAGACTTGAAAATAGATAGACTGGTAAAGATGTTAAAAATGCATATTGCACATTTGTCAGAGAATTGAATAGAACAAAATTAACAATATGCAAGGTCAATCTGCAGTTGCTAAGACCAGTAAGGTTTTGTCATGTATAAATAGGGGCATAAATTCTCGGGATGAAAATATAATTTTGCCTCTTTATAAATCGCTGGTAAGACCACACCTTGAATATGCTGTGCAATTTTGGGCGCCTGTTCTAAAGAAAGATATCATGGCACTAGAAAAAGTCCAGAGTCAAGCTACAAAATTGATAAAAGGAATGGAGCATTTTAGTTATGAAGAAAGGTTAAAAAAAATTTAATCTGTTTAGTTTGGAAAAACGGCGCCTGAGAGGGGATATGATTACTTTATACAAATATATTCGGGGCCAGTACAAACCTTTATCTGGAAATCTAGTCATAAACAGGGCTATACATAGGACACGAGGTCACACATTTAGGCTGGAAGAAAGGTGATTTCATCTAAGGCAAAGAAAAGATTTTTTTACAGTAAGAGCAATAAGGATATGGAATTCTCTGCCTGAAGAGGTGGTTTTGTCAGAGTCTATACAGATGTTTAAACTGCAATTGGATAAATACTTACAAAAACATAACATACAGGGATATAATGTCTAATTAGTGGGGTAATAGCTGCTTGATCCAAGGAGACATCTGACTGCTATTTTGGGGTCAAGAAGGAATTTTTTGTTGCAAAATTTTAAGCGCTTCAGACTAGGGTTTCTTCCTTCTTTTGGATCAGCAAAAAAAATATGTGAGGAAGGCTGAACTTGATGGACGCAAGTCTCTTTTCAGCTATGTAACTATGTAACAAACCTGCCATTTCACCCTTAAAGGGACCCTATAGGTACCCAGACCACTTCTTTTTGAATGGTCTGGAAGCAATGTCCCTGTCCCTCTTAGTCCTGTAAAGCATGGCAGGTTTTTTTTTAAGAAACTGAAATGTTTACATTGCACTACTAAGACTATTGCCAGTGGCTATCTAGCAGAATTCACCTGGAGGTCTCTTAAACAATGCTGGACGTCTTCAAGCTCTGCATGAGGACATCCAGCGTCAGTAAAATCCGTATAGGAAGCCATTCATCCCCCCATTAGATGAAGTTGGAGGAGCAGTGAGATATCATTTGATTTAGATTAGCCTTTCAAAGTCTCCATGTTTCTTATCACTTTGACTTTTGGATTAGTGTTTTAAATGAGACTTTGGGCATCAATGCTTATTTGCATGGAAGGGAGACCCCTACTGGTAGAATTCTATTATTGCTATCCATCTATGCTAATCTCAGTGTTCTCATTTGTTCTACAATCTGGGGAGAACGCACTATGTGGCGTAAAGATAGCCTATGGACACAATATGAGTATTACATTGTTTCCAGCCAGCTTTGGAGAGTAAGAAAACTAATGCTGTAGTTCTCATTTACACTACAAATTGCTTATCTGTAACATGCAGGGAAGATTCCTCATTGGACCCCAGGGACTCGGGAGAAGATTCCCAACTGGACCCCAGAGACTCAGAAGATTCCCAACTGGACCCTAGGGACTCAGGAGAAGATTCACCACTGCACCCCACTGGCTTATAAATGCAGATCCCCCAACAGCCCTGGTTTTAAGACACAACCACATTAGATTTGTTTTTTGCTCTTATAATTTAGGGCTGAATTTTGGTGGTGGACCAACAGACCAATATCGAGATCAATTTCTACTAGCTAAATGTAGCACATGTTAAAGTGTTATAGTAAGAGAATGGGTTATCCAACCAACAAAACCTTCTCTTCTTGAGGACTGCTGTTTAATGAAAAAAAAAAAAAAACAGCTTGGGGGTAGACACACTGAATAACCCAGGAGGCTCATGGTTGTTATTGAGTTAAAATTATAGCACACAGCATAAAAAAAAAAAAAAAAAAGCTCACTTGACCATCAACAGATCTGGAACACTCAGTCCCTTAAGATCCATTAAACCCACAACATGAGTGATAATTATCCGGAATTGTTTTCCACCATTATTACTGAACAAAAAGAAACCTCTAACTGCAGTGACTTACAGACATCTCCTCTTTATTCTGCCAACTCCCATCACTACTGTACCTATACATGGTGTGTGCAGGAGAGATTCTTCTATTATCTTGCACAAATCTACAAATATAATATATTTCATTGTTGCAATGCTCCTTATCCTTAGTCATCTAAAAAAAAAAAAGTTTTACTGCACAATTCTGCTGTGGCTTACCCAACCATGCGAAATAGAGGGCTATCTTTTCACCAAAGTATTTCCTAACATGGTCCAGAGGCTGGTATTTGTACCATTTACTCCAGCGAGCCCAGTATTTGGACAGGATCTGTCTGTGCGTCAGTTCATCTGGAGGAGCTTTTGATTCATAAGTATAATCCCCCTGAATGGAAGAGAGATGGCATGTCAATGATCAGACCTTACCATTAAATGTTCAATTACCTCTTGTTTTCATTCATGAATCTTAGTGTGTGGTTTTACACAATTATTCTAATCACATTAAATATCAATACAGGTAAAGAGTGGGTACCACAGAAGCTACAGAGATACAGTATATAGAGTAAATGTGACGCTTCCGTTTTTACATAAATGTAAAGCATTTGAGACTACATGGGCTTCTGCTTCAGATGCAGCAATATATAAAGAAATGAATAAAATAAAGAGAAAGATTACTCTCTAAAATCCTTTTAGCCATGCAGTAAAGTACCACCTAACTTGTCTTCTGTATTTCTATAGCTAAAACAAGACTACCTGTATGGACACCTAATAAGCCAACCAGGAAAAGTTATTCTACTGGACTCATCATTTGTTGTAGAGATACTACTCCTATCATGGTTGATCAAGTGTCTGCTGGCAAAACAAAACCCTGCCGTCCCCAAAACAGCATTAATCAATTACTGTATATCTTACAAGACTCATTGGAACACATAGGAGTATGGAATAAGAAAGTATAATTCCTCAATGTGTTGTATATGTAGGCCTTGTGCATAGTAGACCTACTATGTTGTTGTGTGTCCCATGTCACTGTCCCTCTATGATCTGTGTAAGGGTACGGTGGGGATATGTATTTATTTGGTGTTATTTAGATTATGCATGTTCTTACATCGTGCAGAGGATATGCAGCACTAAAAACACCTTCTTTCAATAATCTTTCCACACCAACTTCACCACGGCAGCTGACTCCATATTGGGCATTGGCCAGGATTTCATACAACTGTAGAACAGAGATTTATTATTTGGATTCCAAAGCAGCGCATCGTTAATGTTCCATTGTTTAAAGAGAACGGCAATACAGCATTAACAGGTTAAAAAAATACATTTATATATTATACATACTACAAAGTTCCATTCAGAAATCATGTCACAGCGATCACTATGTTTTATACCCCTTAAGCAATTCTTTATTAAGATCAGGTGATTACAAATATTTGTATCTTCGAGGTCCTTAAGGGTTAATAGCTTGAGGGTACCAGAGATTGAAAGACTCTCTCATGCAGGTTTCCAGTTGGAGGAATGGATGATCCTGTTAATCTCCGACTGGATATATGTGCTTACACCGTGGCAACTTAATTTTGTATTATAGACTTGTTTTTAAGTGCTAATGATAGAAGGGCCAATATATATCCAGATGGTCTTTTTTGCTAGTTTATCCAAAAAGTCAAACAAGACAAGGTTGAGGGTTGGCAAGGTAGGCACTTTTTGGATTTGTGCCTGGGCTAGTAGCCCACAGTATCAATGCTCTCTAGATATGGACTGGCTCACTGGGGTATCACCAAGTGGACAGTAGTATCTGGGGCTGACCAGGCTGCCAACATCTACATAGTATGTAGGATGTCAGTGTTTACAAGTGACTTCTATGGTGAGATTATACTGTGCTTTTTGATGTCTAAAACATGCTCTTGTTGTCTCTGGTGGCAACGGAGTCAAATAGAATATTTGTATCATAGGCATGTGCCGATCTCTGTGAATCATCTGTCACATTGTACAGGTTATACTGATGGACGTCACAGAGATATATGAGGTCACATCTCACGACTCCAGGAGCCTCTATCCAACAATCTTATATATTGCATGCCCCACAGAGGAGCATCACCACTGAGATATGAGAGTTTCATACCCCGACAAAGTGGCGATTTGTTTGTACCTGCCCCCAGGCCAGAAGATGCCCCCCTGACATTTTCAATGTTGTCTACTGCCGTATACGTACAATCTGGTGTCGTTGGGTGTTTGTAAAAAACACATCTTGGTTTCCACTTCCCAAGAAGCTGCATAAAAAACATTAAAAACATAAAATAAAATACTACATACAATTTAAAATACTATTACAATAAGAAAGATTAAATATTTAGTATTAGTAAGAAATATGATCCAGAAGATAAGGACATCAGGTAAAATGTACTGCCAACTTTAAGATGAGAAATCATGGATTGAACTCAGCCCCGCACCAGTTAATGATTTTTTTTTTAAAGTTGTTTTAGAGTGTGGCAGAGAATTATGGGTGATGTAGTCTGACAACAGCTGGTGGGAGGGGCTGGGTTTAGCACCCACCTGCCTTTCATGGTTTCTTCTGAACCTGGCAAAATATATTAACATTTGATAAAGCAGTATCCCTGGTAACTGCTCCCAGAAAGGAAACATTTGGAATGATTAAAGATCTCCGTTAGGGTTAGGAGGCCAGGAATATATTTGTCAATTTGTGGCCCGCTTTTTAAAAACGACCTACACCATACTGATGATTTTATGACATTTTGTGATAGAGTCAAATAGAAATGAAATAGATAACACATGCAAATAGAAAGAAGTGCAAATTGTTTTATAATAATATAACATAAGTCACACTAGGATACATACTGAGTACAAGTACAATTCAGCAGAGACCGCAGGAGGGTGTCCAGATCAATGTATGGTCTTACCTATTTAGTTTGCGAAGTTTAAAATGACAGTTGAACGTCTCAGGTGGGTGTCTGGGCACATTGTCATAGAAAAATACTGATTCCTTAGTCATTTTTTGCTGAGACTTCGCAGAATTTTCCGAACACGGCTATACACATGGGACAGATGGAGCATGGTCAACAATTGCATTCCCATTATCATGTAAGCTTAGCATACATTTATAGTGGCTCTACTCAAGTTTATGGACCTCACAGTACACCAGGCAAAATAGCCCCAAAAAGTTTGCATTTTCTGGTCTTCCCTTAGTTTATCCAAGTTAGCAAGTCTCTGTTTGCAGCAGAAGAACTAGCAAGAATGAGACTGGATTGACAGATGAAAATTCTTATAAAACTTGTAGTAGACTTGTTGATCAGAAATCTTATCAATGGACATACAGCATGAGTTTAAACATGCTAACACTATCGTACCCCCTCAACAGTTTAAATGGACAGAAAGGACAGATTTTGAGACATATTAGGTGACTTGCTAACAATATTTATAACTAAAATGTAATTTAGGATAAGAACAGTATCTTATTAACACATACTGATTTCTAAACACATTTATTGTAGTTTAAAGACACATTACTGTGAGAATTACTGATGTGGAGCTGTGTTGTACACTCAGATACACCAACAATATGGAGCTCCCATAAAATATTGAATCTTAGAGACCCCGGTAAACAGAAAAGTGAATCAAATTACACCCCTCCACCCGAATTATTTAACTGCTAACTTAGATGAAAATGAACCAGAGTGTCCTCAAAAGCCTTCTGACAAAGCATAGCAAACATTTCATTAACACCCCCCTTCCAATAGCAGGTACATCCCTCCCCTCCATTTCCCATCACTATTAACCACAGAATAGAAATAATGTAATATTCTGAAATCCATCCTACGCTGGTCTTACCTCTAAGGAGTTGTAAAACAGAGAATGAGTAGGTTTATCCAGTATTTTAAACAATAAGAAAGAAACGCACAACAACAAAAATCTGAGAGAAAACAAAACACAAAACATATTCTAAATACAAATACATAGCAAAACAAAACCAGTGAAGCACACAACAAAAATAAGCCACAAAACCAAAGTTATTGCACAAATAATAACAAAACAGAACAAAAACAAAACAAAACACATCCATCATTCTTCATCACTTGCGGATATTTGCCAATTTAGTGTCCATTAAATCACAAATACAACAACTCAGAAACATTAACTATGTTTGCGGAGATGAGTCTACATTGAATTCAATGTACTTAATTCTGCAGAACAAGGGAAATCTTGAATCAACGTATCAATCAGATTTGTCCTTGGATCAATAGGCTTTCAACAATGTCAATATTAATTGTTAAGTCCCAGAAAACATCCAGACCTTTTCTGAATCTGTCTTTCCACTAGTCCTCCTCATTTGAGCTTCCATCTTTTGAAGCCAATCGTCGTCAGCTGGATTCCGCACCTATCAATGAGAAACCCTGACAGAACAAACAGAGTACAATAAGAGCCTAAGCAGCCTGGTACATCTAATGATAATGGGCGCACTGGTAGCCTGAATATCCTATTCTTACTCTTTATAACAGATACTCTTATTAATTGTTGGTGAGATAGCGCAGTGGGCTAATGCTCCATCAGAAGAATTTGTTCAACCCTTGGGCGTTGCAGGTTTAATTCCCAGCAGGGTTGACTCAGCACCTTCATGCTTTTGCATTTGGAAACCAGAAAATATCTACATACTCTTGTTAATTCATCTTCATCCTGTCTAATGCACAGAAGCATTCCCTGATTATATCCATACTCATATGCAAGCTTGATCAGGACCCCCACCACCTTCGATTCCTGTACATCCAACTTGTCTTGTTGCCACTACCTTTGCCGACTTTTAAAAAAGCACAGAGTGTGTTGATGACTTCTAAATAATATCTGACTTCCCTATTCCATCCTGTACAGGGCTTTTATAACGCATGGGTACACTGGGCAGTTGACCGGGGGCCCCTCGAGCATAGGGACCCCAGTGTCTTGCCAATTTTTCAGTCTATTATTCCAGGAGATTTATACAGAACCTTCAAACCCTCTTTATTAAAACATTTAGGTGGACTAATCACCTCAGTATCAGCTGTTATCTTTACATGCGATCTTGCTGTTGCGAATATATATCTCGACGAAAACAACGTACACGTTCTAATCGTACATAAGCAAGACAAAATCAGCACACACAATATTTTGAAGCCGTAAAGCTATAATAAAGTTCTTCTACTATTCTTAACAGTCCATGTCAGTTGCTGTTATATTGTCCAAATGTTTGTGTATATTAATTTCTGCTGTACAGCATGTTTTTTAATGTTTAAACACTGATTTTGTTGGAGGTACCAGTCAATATAAGCTTAATTATATTGATAATTTACATTTTGATTCCTGTGAGTGATTGTGTAGGCAGGGCCCCATTGCACTGGTTTGCCCGTTGGCCTATAATACGGTTAAGACAGCCTTGATCCTGTGACATAATTATAAAAATACACTGAAAATGCAAGTGTACCAAATAAGTACTAAAACTACAAACAATTCTAATACATGCAATAAAACAAAAGATATTGTGCTATTGGGGCAAATAGTGTTCAATGGCAAACATGCATATACTCAATTATGTTCAGATATATAGACAGTATATATAGTGCTTTGTTTCATGCAGTGTCCCCATAATGACTACAAAATAAACACATTTCTATAAAGTAAAGCAACCATAAAAAAAAAGAAGAGCGTAGCATAAAGTCAACTCAAACCAAACAAAAACAAAATAAAATATGGTGTACAAAATATACTTATACTCATTCAAGGGCTTCAACTTTTAAAAGCCAAATAACATCATCTGTGTTGTACCGGTGTTGTTTTTTGTCTTAAATGTACAAAGGTTACTTGAATTGGCATATTTTGAAGACCATATTTTATGTTATTCCTATATATTATAATGCATTCACAGATACCCAGACCAACTTATCTCTAGCATCAACAGAAGAACAGCTCTGGAGCCCAATGTAATTTGGTTCTGCCAACCTTAAAGTTCAGTTGGTACAAGTGGGGGAAATGTTTGTAACTGGCTCCATGCAACCAAAGACCAAAACGTTTATCATTGAAAGCATAATATGTGCTGCGTCATACCTTTAGAGGTACCTTCATAGACATCTCTTCAGCATAGTAACACAGCACTGCCCAAGGAGCATTGAGCAACATGAAATGGATAGTTAGATCTTTCTTCTGGAAGTGGTGCTGTAGGAGAACAAGAGTTACATAGAAAGAACAGACTGGCTAGAAGCATGCAGTTAAGATGATCAAAGGATGTCTCCCCGCCAACCGTGCTTCTCCCACGTGTTTAGGCCACAGCCAGCACAGAGTTCTCTAGTATCCTCAGAATACTAGGTTATAGGATTACAGGTATACATTGGGTTTAACAGGCCCTACTCCTCCCTAATATTGCAATTTGTAGACAGCGTTATCACAACGTTATTACTTTTTCAAATTATGTTTACATTCAAATAATGGGAGCTGTTGTCACAGTGATGCCTTTTTAAGACCTAAGAGAAAACATAAAGAGGAAATTGGCGCACGCCGAAATACAGACATTGCTTCAATACCATACTACCATGGAAGGTCGGCCATGGACATATACAACAGAATAGGTGGACGCATTTGTCTCAAATGGAAGATTTAGTGAGTGTCCATCACAGAAAACTCTAGCAGGTTTAATAACTAAAGTGAGAATTCAAAAGTGAATTTCAAATTTAAGGACAAAGAAGACGAACTGAAAGCATGGCTGAATTAGAACTTTTTTTACCTTTTGGCTATTTTGACCTTAAATTTTAAATTCACTTTGAATTCTCACTTTAGATTGTTGATTGTTATATTGTTGGTGTATTCATATATGGCCCAAAGGTATTTAGAAACCAGCTTAGGTAAGTTGTATGGAACACAACAGGATGAAATAAAAGCTATCTATATGTATTTGTAACAGTAAATGGATAATAACATGTATATAAATGTAACTATGTGTGTATAGTTTAGAGCTCCCAAATTCTACGAAGAAAAAGTGGAGTAAATCGAGAAAACGGTACGTGCTTCGTGACGGAATCACAGAATTGCCTTACTTCCTCCATTTTGAGTCCATGCTTTTTCAGGTAACCAAATAATTTTTTCCTCAAGTTCTTCTGCTTTTCATCCACCGCATCTTTCTTTGCCTCCCAAACTAACACATAATCTACAGAAACATGGCGACAGAACAGAAGAGGATTTGATCATTCTTCCATGATGCAGCCTAGCTAGATTATATAAGAATCATTTTGAGACTGGAGAAGTCGTCACAAGTTTGATTTTGGTTGTGTTAAACTTTTTCAAATGCTTTTGTTTGATCTGTTTATTGCAACCCGCGGAAATTCTGAATATTTTGACAATAAACCTGATTTTCAATGGGGGTTGAATAATTTTGATTACAACTGTATAGCTAAAATGACGACAGACATTATACAATATAAGTCTACTAAAAGGATTGGCTAGGTTAACCCAATGCTCTCAGGTGTACAATTATGCATAAAAGAGTCACAGATTTAAAAAAAATTATTTAAAAAATATATAAATATATTTATATACACACACTCTATTCTTCTAGCGTGGTACTCAAACTTACTAGTATTTCTAACTCTTGGCTTATTTTTTTATTTTTATTTTTTAATTTTTTTTTTTTTGCAGTGCATATCAGTTTAACATCCCCGCATGAGGTATCCCAACGACATTCCTCAAGCGTATTTGGAACATATATATATATATATATATATATATATATATAACAGTTGGGTCAGCTATAAAACATGCACAATTTTATAATTATGTGATGAGCAAATTGTTGGATTCGTCACTTAGCTTATGTGGCTGGTGCTATAGCAAGTATCAACATCTGTATCGAACATAAACTTTCAAGTTTAACTTTGATTATCTAGCTTAGAGTGATATACAGGCTAGTCAAACGTGGAATTGTCTAGGTCTACATATGCTTATTCATTCAGTGTTTCACTACCTCTTCTAAGCAATATAATAGGAGTTTGCTTGAAACCTGAGTCTGCATGTATGGTTTATATTATATTCATAACAAGAGTATAAACAGACGCTTTTAAGAAGTGCTAGCTTAGTTAAGATAGGTGTTTAAATGAAATGCCACCAGGTTGATTTTGGCATAGTGAGTTATCATCTGCATTACCCTGGATGCCCAAACCGACAGTTACTGTGATTATAATTACAGAGATGTCCATGTATCGGCAAGTATCGCCAGGGAGTTATCTTTTAAGGCTGTCGTGAGTTCCGCAGTGCACTCCTTGGCTGCCTTTCGTCCCGAGGAGCTGGGATCGTCGTTGGTTGAGAGGCATCCTGTTCCCAGGCTTGGGGGTGACCCTCGCGGAGTACCCAGGCGTTCCACTGTATTCCGCAGCCTCATTTCGATCAAAGTGTCCTCAGATCGCCGTGTCCACAGTACCCGGTCAGTAGGTGAGTACGGGTGCGGTGCTTTGCAGCCCATAGTGTCCAGATACAGGTAGCGATATGCTGGGGTTGGTGTTTGGTAAGGACCTCTCCGGGCTCTCCTCCAATGTTGGTCTGTGGGTTTGGTGGTAGGAAGCGAGTTAGTCGCGTCGCTGTCGGCCATTTTGTGAGGGCCGCATGGTAGCCTTAGACTGTCGGCGCTGGGTCGCCCAGGCTTGCCGCCAAGATGTTTGCTTGCCTGGTGGGGACCGGGATAACCCCCGCCGGTCCAAAGGGGGGGTGAACGGAGCCGGGAGGGCTCCATTTGCGTTGCGATTCTCATTACCCGGGGCGGAGAGCGAGGCAGCGGCCGTCTGCTCCACTCCCCTCCCGTGTAGGCCTCAGTCCACCAGCCCCGGGGCATCTCACCAGGACCCAGAACCACCCGGTGTCAGGTGCTCTAGCTGCACTGGGACAATCCAGGAGCATATACCACAAATTTCCAGGGCATTCCAAGTTGAGTAAGGTGGGTTTTGTCACCCTTATTAGCTGGATTCCTCAGGAGCCATAGTGACTTGCAGCCTGCTAGCATGGCCGCCCGGCCCCGCCCCCCCAACTCTTGGCTTATTTAAACCTTGTTTTGTCCACTCCTTCTACTCAATGTGGTACCAATAAGTTGCATTGCTTAATGTCTTTTTACGTGATAAAATGTGGATTATTATTGCTCTTGGCTTCAGTTGAGTTATGATTCTACGATTCTATGACTTAAACAGAATATCAAAAAAAAGGCATACATTTACCTATTTGTGTCTTTCCATCACTAAAGAAATTCACTCTATCATCATCGTGTTGTCCACGATCAGGAGGCCATGTCTGACAGTTTAAAAATAGAGCATTAATAGAATGATTTAGGAACAGTAAAGGCTAAGTGTTTTAAAACAAATATTCACAAAAATATTTATTGTGGAGAATTAATAAGAGAATCACACGTTTCAGGCCAAAATAGGAAGAATTAAATAATATGCCAATATCTGTATTTTCTATAGCTTGATTATTTTATATCCTAAAAACGTGAAATTCTTCTATGGGTAAGGTGGGTTAAGGGTAGAGTTTGAAATGCTTGATGGGTTATAAGAACGTGTGTCAAACTACAAAGGGTATATTATCTTACCAATGGATCGGTGGATTGTGGACTTTCTTGATGGTCCAGCAGGAGCTTAACCTCTTCTCCACTTCCTGTTTTCCTCCTTGTGCACATCTTTGGTCAGTAACTTCTGGAAATAGAAATGCCCATTAGATGCAAGGCACCATGACTGCTAAATCAAGTAAAACACCACAAGATGGCACTATAGTTTTAAAAATAAAAATCAGGACAATTATACTTTAAAGAACACAAATGATAAGTAAACATGTTAAAACGGCATTGAATAAAATAGGGAGGAAATAAAAGAGCCTTAAAAGTAAATATATCAAATGAAAATAGGAGCAAGTGAATTATTTCACTTAAATTACATGAAATATCCTTAAGAAATCGTAAATATAAAACTAATGATGCTAAACTTTGAATTCCCACTGTACGTCACTGCTAAAAATTCAAAATGGACACGCGCACCTATCAGCAGAGCACTCACGGTTGTGCGCATGCTGAGGTTTTCAGAGTTTTCCACACGGATCCTTAAGAAACACCAAAGTAATTTGGAAAAGCAGGCTTGATATCACAAATTATGATTTAGGAGGTATTGTATTTACTTTAAGTTACACATCAATACAACACAAGTGTCAATAAAATTGAGCTGAAAAAAAGAAAAGAAAAAAAGCCGATCTGAGGAGGTTTTCAATTTGGTTATTTTTTTATCTAAAATTTGAAATTCACTTTGAATTTCTGAAAATTCTAAATTTTAGTAAATAGCCCTATGGGGTTTATTAATTAAACACCAAGTTGTGGTGAATTGCAAACCAAACTGCAAAATATAGGCATAGAATAGGCAGGCATAGTTTATAGTGGAGTTATGACCAGGACATTTAAAATAAGAGGCCAAGACATTTAAATTGAAATTAAAAACTCATTAGAATACAGATGGTGTATAAAAATTGCAGCAATCACATTTGCACCAGTTTTGTGCACATGCACTAGTTTCTTATTTATAAAATGTTATTAGTAATTTTTTTTCCCTACCATTTCCCTAGTGTGCCAAAATAATCCATTTATGCACCTCTTATTCCTCTGTTTCCCTGATGATATTACATTCACAAAATAAAGAGAGAGAGAGAGGACCAAAAAAAAAAAAAAAAAAACAGTCTCATTTGAATTAATTGCTTTATTAGAGTTTCTGTCATGACACCTGAGAGTCTGGGCTAACCCATTAGTGATGTTGCCATGGTCATTAAAAATGATGGTAAGTAATTAAAACTATTTTCTACTTTCCTGGCTAACACTGACAGCATTGCTAATGGGGAATACCCAATAAAACCCAAAAGGGAGGGGCTCACCACAAAATGCTGCAAACACAGATTATTATTAGCAGTAATAGCTATGTACACCTCTACTAAAGGAAGAGGAAGAACCGTTAGCAGCGTCCGACTTTTAGTGTTATATGAAAGTCAATGGGGAAAAATGGATGACAACTGACATTGGACTGATATTTGGAATGCACATAGAATTGCCATAGCCACTATATTTCCATGGTGGTTATTATTATTGCCATTTATATAGCACCAACAGATTCCATAGGGCTTTACAATATGAGATGGGAGATTTAACTATAAATAGGACAATTACAAGAAAACTCACAGGAACGATAGGTTGAAGACGACTCTGCTTAAACAAGGCCTCAGTCTTATCACTTTCATTTTGATTGGCAGGGCGTAAAAACCAATACTTTGTACTAGAAATCAAATGTTTCAGGATTTTACAAAATGACGTTTAATCATTTAATGTGTTATTTAGTATTTTATGTGATGATCTTCAAAGTGTAACCAGGTGAACTAAGTGAGATTTGATGAGACTTTGCAAAATAAAAATGTACACAAAAAAAAAAAAAAAGTTGAAAATGTAAATTTTGGCCTAAAAATTGGAATCTGTAAATTCTCTAGGACTACCAAGTTAAGTGAATTCTAAATAGAATTCTGGCAATCTTATGTAGAAATAAAAGAATGACTTATCCCTCTCTAAATGTCTCCCAGAGAAATGTATAATTTATGCGTGGATCTGACACCCTGGAGTTCCATATCCTTATGAAATCCCAACATTATGCAACTGACAGGATTTCAACCCTTTCCCTAGATACAGGGAATTTAGACACCAGCCCTTTAAAACATTACCATACATATGGCACATTACAATGCTTCTGAAATGAATATTTTTTTTAAGAGAAAGAATACCTGATCAAGTAGAGAAAGACATTGAACCAACACTGAAAATCTCAATTAGTCACACTGCTTAGTATCAGGTAATGAGGAGATCATTCGAGTCACTCAGACAATCACGCTAATCACATATCAATGGATTAACCCTTTGCTATGTAAAGC